CAAGTTTTAAATGCTTATAAACTTTGCCAAACTGTCGTGGAATGTTTTAGTTTTGATCCTTTTAAAAAGAAATAGCTTTAGATTTTACCACTGAAATCTAAGACTACTGATATCGTGTTATAAAAATATATGGTAATTAAGGGCTTACATATATTTTCCTATTTAATATAACTTTGCTAATATCTTCGATTTGAAAGAAGATATCAAGATGCGGTTTTCACTGACTTTTTAAGCTTTCATTACTCTTTACCATCAGCTAAAATGGCATATACCATCGCATTTATTTTTTTTTTGAAAAAACGCGCAATGTTTGTTGATTTGTAAGACAGCGCCCCCTAGCATCTACGTTCAAAAGCTTACTATTATTGTTTATATGGTAAGAAACGGTCTTTTAAACGAGCCCCCGTTAGTTGGATTCCGTCCATCCAGTCCGGAATTATTAATACTTAAATAAAAACAGATCTAACCTTCCCCCACCACTTTATTTTGGCAAATAGGGGAAAATGGTTCTAACAAAAAATATTCAGAATTTACTGAAGATTATGAAGCTATTATTTATAGTACCCCTTATCTAGGCAAAGTTGTGTAAAAACTCCATTTTCTTATTTTTTATAGCAGTTGCGCCCTCTAACGGCCATTCTACAAATTTGAAAATAATTTCCTGCATTTTCTCATGGTCTCTTTAGTTATGAATATTTTTTCCGCAAGCCTCACGGCTAAGACTTTCCGAGATATAGCCGAGAGCTATTCTTAGTGGGACACCGTAGATATAGCCGAGAGCTATTCTTAGTGGGACACTGTACAATAACTTTATTATAAGCAAAGAATATAACAGTAAATCAACGCACTAGAATATTTTTATTACAAACAAAAAACCTCAACACTGCACTTTAACCCTCTTTCTTTTTCCAATAGTTTATAAGTTTTCCATATATTTGTAGCACCCTGTATCTGTTTTTGATTTTAGCGTCATTTTGTATTTATCCAATTAATAATTAAATATTAATAAATTTATAAAAAAAGATAATTTGACTCTAAAAATTTTAAATTAATTTATTGGAATTGAAAAGGTTTTTGATTTTAGTATAACATGTATTAGTAATATATTAAATGGACATTTTTAGAGGGGGCAAGCTGGGGCAAGATGTTAAATTAGTTTCGTTATTAGAAAGGCTTAATCTACCTTGTGATATATATAAAAGTCTTGGCCAACTTTGGCCATTTTTTATTTTTCTACATACACATTTTTTTTTGCTACTAAATATAGTATTTGGCAGCAAAAAATGTTTATGTGTCTCTCTTATATACAATTGTTCTCCCAAACTTTTGTGACTATATATATCTTTTATTTTAAAGTGAAAACAATCGTTTGCACTAATATGTATGGTTAAAAAAAATTATTAATGTCTTTGCCAGTTTTTATAAAACTAGGTTGTTTCACAAGAAATGAATACCATAATTAAGTCAGTGTAATATCTTCATTTGAAACATTTCAAACAGACATATAATTAAAAATATTTTTTTGAGTTGGATAAAATATAACGGTCTGGACTTTAAGTAATTCAAATCTTCTACCAAAATTATTTAATTTAAAATTTTATTTTTAAGTCAATGTCCAACATTTTATATTGGGTCTTTCCACCGTGCGCCGTAGCGCATACCCCACTCCGTTGTCCGTTGTATATCGCCGCCTGTATCGATGGTTGTCGAAATAACATGTTTTCCATATATACTAGTTGTTTTTTGGAATTGCTTCGAGCAATTCCAAAATTAATATTTTATTCCAAAATTATTATTTTTATTAATTTAAAATGAGCAGCATCGAATTTCGTGCGGTGCAGAGCGCCGACTTCGTTTCACGAACAGTCCAGCGTGTTGTTATTTTATATCTGTTGTTTTTTAAAAGTAGTAACGGTTGCGTTATGTTATTTCTAAATAATTGTTATAAAATAACAGATAGTTAAATAACAACCCATCACTACAATTACAAAGGACAGTAACTATCAATTTAAGTTTAACAAGAGGAATAATTAAAACTTTTTCTTAAAAAAAGGGGGGGGGGGGGAATTCCCTTCAGAAACTTTTTAAGTAATGGGACCCAAATTATTTATAGTAGTTAGTCTAAAAGGCAGTAATTGTATTATTACACTCGGCTAAGAATTGGCTATAACTCAGTAAATTTTTGAAAAAATACATATTATAGCTTATATCGCTGAAAATCTTAAAAAATGGCGCTTTTTATGAAGTCATTGCCAACTATGGTTTCCATTTAAAAAATACATATGTTTGTGTCATATGTCAAAATTGACAGGCTTTAGAGAAATCGGAGAACTTTTATCTGAAAACTTTCTGTCTAAAAAAATTGGAAAACATAATCTCATTAGGGACGTGATTTTCTATAACTTTTATCTGAAAACTTTTTGTCTAAAATCGATTATAATGGAATAAGGGACCTTTTTTAAAATAGCCGAAATTTGTTTTTCTGGAAATATATAGAAAAAGGTTATTTTTCAATAATCTGAAAGGCGCATATTTATGACCCCACAAAACTTCAATTCTTTCCCCATTTAACCGACTTTCTATCTCCAATAGTTTCCGAGATACCCATAGAGAACATCGTAGAAAACTTACCCCGTATAGTTATTTTTATTTTATCCTTGTATGAAGCCCCCGATATTCTATTTTTCATATCATCGCCTGTAGTAGGCGACGCGATGTCCTAAAATATTTGCCTTTAACATAGCCCCATACAAAAATCCATCCGTGTTAGGTTAGGACATCGTGCTGACCATGCAATTTCTTCCAATCCAACGTCTTGGAAAAGAGCGCAGCGGTTCAAAAAGAATTTAACGGTATAATGGTTGTGCACAGACGCACTGTCATGCTGTAACCACACATATATCTCGTCTGGTATTTAAATCTACATTTTCCAACAGTAGTATTTCATTTAAAAATATACAATTTTGGTTTGAAAATATGTCTTAATTACTCTGATATACAGGGTTGTTCACCACATACGACACGGAGTATTGTAGCTAAACGATTAGATTTTTACAAATTGTAAGTTTTGGGTTCGTTGAAGGACTATTAGAGCTACAATTTAAAAATATTTTTACAAGATACAGAGTGTCCCAAATAAGTAAAAAATATTATAGTTGTATTTTTTTAAATGGAACACCCTGTATATTATTCTGTTTTTAGATTCTACGATTAAAATAAAGGTAAATTTGATTAAGGTTTATCATACTTAAACCTTACCGTTTTTGAAATATTTTCAATTTTATGAAATTGCAGTAAAAATTTTAAGGCTTCATTTCTCCAAGGGTATCAAAGTTTTTAATATATTTACTGAAGATTATTCATTGATCAGATATTGTGTTGCAATAATAAAAATTTTACTAGCTTATACAGAGTGTCCAAAAATTTATATTAAATAATTACTAGCTTTAAACGGCAATAACTTGTTTAATTTAAATAGAACACCCTGTATATTTTACGTGGATCATATGCACATTTTAATTGTCTATCAAATTTTATTATACAATTTTTTACCTATCTCTTCAAGTTTTCGTAGAAAACGCATTTTCTTATAATTTAGACCTCATTTATCACTATAGCCATGAAATATTGACATTTCAGATTTTTTTAAAATATATGTACAAAATGTATAGGTAGTAAATATTGCAAGCCCATTGGTATACAAAAAAACTATTTAAATATTTTTAAAGGAGTATACCAATTAAATATACCACCATTATTTCCGACCAAAAATTAGTTAATAAAATACTTTTAAATTGTTTTAATTAATAAAGTATTCTAAATAAATGTGGATTTGGCTAAGAAATCATCAATATAATAATAAGTTATGAAAATGAACGTCTCTGTTTTTATAAATAAGCATTCGTCAAAAAATGAAATAAAATTTATAAGGTGTTACTTTTTACCACACTGTTTAATACACACACAAAATTCAGTTTTTTAGTATTTGGAGCAATTATTATTAATCAACGTAAACAGCCAATTAATGTAGTTTGAATACTGGGATCATATTAATTGGTCCTCTTTAACAAAAAAACTAACTAATCGACAATATTAGTATTTGTACTCTTTGAAAATTTGTTACATCTTTAAAAATAATCTAAAATGTCAATATTCCATGGGTATAGTGATAAATGAGGTCTAAATTATCAGAAAATGCATTTTATACGAAACTTGTAGAGATGGGTAAAAAATGGTATAATACAATTTAATAGACAATTATATTGTACATCTGATTCACGTCAAATATATAGGGTGTTCCATTTAAATTAAACAAGTTATTTGCCGTTTAAAGCAAGTAATTATTTCATATACATTTTTGGACACTCTGTATAAGGTAGTAAAATTTTTATTATTGCAACACAATATTTGATCAATAAATAATCTTCAATAAATATTTAGTATTAAAAACTTTGATACCCTTGGAGAAATGAAGCCTTAAAATTTTTACTGCAATTTTATAAAATTGAAAATATTTCAAAAACGGTAAGGTTGAAGTGTGATAAACCTTAATCAAATTTACCTTTATTTTAATAGTAGAATCTAAAAATGTAATAATATACAGGGTGTTCCACTTAAAAAAATACAACTATAATATTTTTTACTGATTTGGGACACTCTGTATCTTGTAAAAATATTTTTAAATTGTAGCTCTAATAGTCTTTCAACGAACCCAAAACTTACAATTTGTAAAAATCTAATTGTTTAGCTACAATACTCCGTGTCGTATGTGGTATGTGGTGAACAACCCTGTATATCGACAAAAATATTTTTAAAATGTTCGTTAATAACATGCTAATATTTAAGGGGGTGATTCTTGGACCTATTCTAAGAAAAACACTTCAAATGTTCATTAATTATATTCTGAAATATACAAGTACATGTTGAGAAATATATATTTATATATTTTATTTTAACAATCATATCTATACATTGTTATCTATAGTATATATTTGCCTGGGTATATAAGGTACATCTTAGCATTACATCTTTAATATTTAAATATCATCGAACTGATCGAATTGGTGTAAAATATAGAAGGCAGTTTTCTTCTGACATTATAACAGAAAATGCGTGTAATCTATACATCAACCGTATTAATTTTAATTGTTGCTGCTCTCACTTTCGGATTAAAGTATGACAATTTCGAAGAATTTGTTGATATGGTAGAGGGCAACATCAGTGCAGCTGAAAATTATACAATTTCAAAAGATAATTCCGATATACTGAATCAGTCTAGTTCCGCAGTTAAAGGTAAGATATATGTATAATAGGGTGAGCCAAAAAAACTAACCTATGGAATTTATGGGTTAAAATGAATCTAACATCCGAGAAAAAAATATCCTCGGAAGGCAGGATTTTTAGCTCACTTTTAAAAGGTGTCGGTGGACCTTCAAAGTTTTCCATTTAAATCTGTACCATAACTTCGAAACGGTTTACGATAAAAAAATTTACATCGCGAATTCTTGTAGAGCATAAAATTTACTAAAAAAACTATCAGAGTAATTATTTTCAGTTCAATTATATTTATTTAAATTCGTATATTTGAAAGCTTTGAAAAGTGAAAAAAATAGCAATTTTCAATCAAAAATCAATCAGTTTTAGTGTTTAATGATTAGACATTTTCATATTTCGTAAAAAGAAACTAGATTACTCTCTGAACGTTAATGTGAGTTTTTGAGAAAAAAAGTTAAAATTTTTGGACGAAAAAAACTGCCTGTCAAAAATATGTGTATAGCCTAAACGTCAAATTTAGTGATTACCACACCTACTGTGTCATAAAGAGAAGACATGTGGTTATCTATTTCAGGAATTAAATTCTTCAAATGTTATATAATAATGGCGGTAGCTGTCATGGAATTAAGCAATTAAAAAATATCATAAATCATTTTTTTCAAATGGAAACCCACTTTATTTATTTTACTAGTGAAAAGGTTTACCAATTCGTTACTTTTTGAGTATACATGTTCCATACCTAAAATGAATCGTCTTTAAATTATTTAAGATTAAGTTTGATTAGGTTAGGTTAGCTTCATAGACTTAGAATAAAATATAGACTACACTATTTACATTTAAGCGCGGTCCAATATTAATTTTTGTAAACATGTTTACTCCTGGGTGCAGCTGACCTCGGCCGTCTGAGTCTTTCGCCTCCAGCCTATGTTGTCACGTCTAAAATATTATTAATATTTTTTTTGTTGTTATACACATATATTGAGATATTAAAACTGTATTTTAATAAAGTAGTGTTTAATAGTAGAAAGATGTATTAAATAGTCCCTATACTACTAAATTATAAGTCGGAGACTATTTAAAATGACAAATTCTTTACAATTTGGCAACACCCATCAATCGCCGGGTCGCCTGTTCATTCTTTATTCTCTCGTAGTAGAGCCATAGTAGAGTAAAGCACGTGTCGTAAAACCTTGTTGTCACAGTTTCGCCATGGCTATTTTATTGTTTTTATTGGATGTTTTGATTTTGTATTTTTTTGGATTCGATTTTCTTAGTGTGTAGTGTCGGTTTAGTGTTTATTTTGATTACTTTTTATTTAAAAACTATAAAACATGGTTCGTCAGTGCCAAATTTGTAAGAAATTGGACTATTTAAGTCCTGGAACAACATTCCACAGGTAAGTCAAATTTACTATTTTGGCGTCAGTGGCGTTGTAGAAAGGCGCTTATTTAGATAATAATTTAGTAAATTATAAACCCTGGAAAATCTGTATTTTTTATATTTATCATTTACGTAAAGGTTCTTACTAACCTCGTTATTAATATAACGAGTAGATACATTATTAAGTACATAAGAAGTAGACACATTATTTTCTTGGGCATTGGTTAATTTAATGCTTTTTTTTATGAAAAATGTGTTTCTTTTTATTCTAAAACCATCCTTAGAATCTAAAATAACATACAGGAATTCCAGAATGATATTCCATTATGAAACAACAATTTTTAAGGCTTATTATAAACTATAAACAATCGAGAAAGTCGAAAAAATTACAAGCTACCAAACATTTTAAAATACCAAACATTCCTTATTTTTTTTCAAGACTAAAATATTTTACAAACATTACTTTTTCCCTATAGTTTCACATCAGGTATAGAAATAACTACGTTTTTATGATAGGGTCACCATTATGATAACAAAAATGACGAACAATGGTCCAGAAATGTAAACAAGTACATATTTTTTGTAAATATTTTTCTTACCGCTTGCATTTTTGTCCATTATTATTTCACAAATTATACAGGGTTATGTAAACCAGGTAGATATTTCGTTTTTTTTATATTAAACAAAGATAAAATAAATATGCCATTTTAAAATTTATCCAGTACTTACCTAGAGTTTTTTCTTTTTTTTTCTCGACTGTTAATCTATTATTAATTTGTAATACCGTATGATCGAAAAAAACGGCGTCCAGTTGGCTTGGAAAAAACCATCGATACATACTCCATATAATTTTACATATAAAATGACAGCGATCTTCATTTCATAGCCATCGCTGACGCCGTTTTTTTTCGATTATAAGGTATAATTTTCATTTTTTCTTTTATAATGTAATATCACTTAAGTAATATCACATATAATCTGAAGATAGTTTTAGAATTAACCAAAACGTAAATCTTTAATAAAACAATCTGTTATTATTTGCCATATATGTATGTATCCAAGAAAATAATTTACATATTATTATTATATGTTTTACTGTTTTTTATCTTTATTTGAAACTCAGAAATGTTGCATTGGCTTTCTAAAAAAATGAACTTGTAAGTTTTTAAAATGCTTCGTTTCGGAGATACAGGGTGTAGAAGTTTCATTTTTATTTCGATTTTTTTCCAAATAATTTCTGAAGTGACGTCAATATTTGGACGAAAATTGGCGTTTGGGAGTTTTTTGACATGAAAAATTAGATTTAGATGTCAATTTGACTTTTACTAATAGGGGGCGCCACCTACATATTTTTTAAGTTATTTGAAGAGTAATACTTTTTGTCTGTATCTATATAAAACTACTGAGAAAAATTTACATTTCCAACGTTTTTTACTTAATAAGGTCTCTTGTTGACACTCGCCACAAGTATAGTTCTCAAGATATTTGGAAACGAATTAATCAATACATTCTTCATAAATTATTTGGAAAAAAGCGAAATAAAAATGAAATTTCTACACTCTGTATCTCTGAAACGAAGCATTTTAGGACATAAATTTATACTATTTTTTTTACTGATTTTATTTGCAGATTATGCTGCCAAAGTTTCCTGAATACAATTCCGACCACTCTGTATATCAAGATATCCCCCATTACGTACTAGTTTTTCTTAATAATTTTCTATACATTTTCCAACGCCAAGATGTACCAAGCGCATACAAATACATCAAGCTTCAAACAAGCTTGCACGTTGACAGTAATACCTACAGTAATATTGTATTATATTAATGTAATATTTTTGAACCAATGTTCAATATTACTGTAGTAATACTGTTTATACTCATGCCTTTTATATTTGTTTGAATTTGGTGCATATTTCCATTGAATAAAGTATAGTCACCATTACCATTATTATACTTACTCTATAATAAAGACAGTAACGAGTTAAATAAATGTAGTTTTCATTTTATTCACTTCCTAAAAGCTTGCTTTAATGGAACAGATTCCTGTTTTTTCTAATTTACATAATAAGACATCACTTTTACCGGAAAAAAAAATTAAACAATTATAAAGTTTTTTCTCTTTCTGTTCTATTATATCTATAGAATAGATCCTGTTTTGATTAATATTAGAGTTGTAAATGTTTGACTAAAATTAATATTTTATTAAATTAATAATTTATCATCAATTTCAAAAATTAAATAATTTCGATTATTAAAATTTCTTCTATAACACGTACTTTATTATTTTTATCGTTTTTAACTCTAAGACGTATTTTTTTTCTAAGTCCTAAACTTTGCTTTATATTAAACTATTTTCTTTATCCTAAATCTTAATAATATAAAAAGTTTAAATACGATATATTTTTAATTGAATTATAGCTTCATTAAAATTAAAAAAATACCCGCCTATGATACGGAGAGTGCAGGTGCACTGAAGAAACAAAAAGACAGTGTTGTGTTGGGCGGCAGAGCCGTCAGGAAACGACCGTTACGACGGAGACAGCCTATCTATCGCTCGTGTCGCACTCGTTAGAGCCAAAAACAATAACACAACAATAACAAGACGTTGTCTGTCCGCATCTTCCAGCTATTTATGAATGAGATGCTCAGTCTATATTTTATTCTAAGTCTATGGTTAGCTTACATACAGGGTGGCCCATCGAAAACGTTCCGCAAGGCATAACGGCCAGGGTAACTTTTTTTTCAGAAAATTCAAAAACACGTCAATTTTGTTTGTGAGGGGGACAACTTTTGCCCCAAAAATGATTGCAAAATCTTCAACCCTCTAAGCGGAGGTGTCATCCCCCAATTTTTTTCAAATTGGAAGGGGGTCAAGTGGTACTGCAATGGAAAGGGCTTTCTCTTCTCTATACTTTCCGGCTTCGTTTTTGAAAATCGGTCGTCATTGAGAAAATATGAAGGATTGAAATTTGAAAAGTTTATTTAAACATTTATCAGAGTTTTTTCGCGAAATTGATAAAAAAAAATGATAAGGATAAATTCCTTTGACCAATTTGCTGTTTTTTCTTATTATTTCTAGATATTTACGGGTTTTTTCACTTGTCACAAGGTTGAACGATCAGGTGCGATAGTTGCTAGATAGCTGTTAATTATAATGGCTGAAATAATTCTGTGACTTGTGCGTTGAAGTTCTTCTCAATATCGTTAAACTGACCTAAAATAGAATTTCCAAAAACACCAACCCACACGTCCAATTTCTGAGGGTTTTGTGTGTGCACCTCGTAAAAAACCCTGGGGTTGTCCTCAGCCCAGTACCGACAGTTGTGCCGATTAACTACACCGTTCAAAAAGAAAGTACACTCATCCGAAAAACACACATTAAATAGGAAATTATTATCATTCGCCACTTGTTCACTCATAGTTTCACAAAATTGCAGGCTTCTATCAAAATCGTCTTCGTTGAGTTCTTGTACCTACTGAATTTTGTACGGGTGGAACTTATTTTATTTTATTTATTTATTAAAAATGTTAAATATATTCTTTCACAAAAACGGTTAATGTTAGACATAAAGTGTTTAACATCAATATTCAGAGAATTTTACAGAGAATTTAAGTATGTAATAAAAAATGGGGGCACCCATTTAAAATAAAAAAATTGCTATCAACTTACAGTATTTCCGGAAGTGCCGCCATATTAAAAATATTTTTAATCGATAGATCTCGTTGTAAAACAATGATGTGCAAATAATCTCCGGTCTAGATATTGTGATTCTCTAGAAATTTCTAATGCACGCTCAGCCTGGGACACCCTGTATATTTCTTTATATTTAATTTTATATTGTTTCTTGTTTTCTAGATTTTGGAACATTTGATTTTATAATTATTGGAGCTGGAGCTGGTGGAGGTGTCCTAGCCAATAGGCTTTCGGAAATTTTAGAATGGAATGTTTTACTTTTGGAAGCAGGAGGATCACCTGATGACTTTACAAAAATACTTGGCCTAAGTGCTTATACTTACTATTCAACTCGAAGCTGGGGATATAATGTCACATCACAGAAACATGCTTGTTTAGGTAAAGATAGAGATTATTTTAGATACATATGTGTATAGTGTTATTATTGTTACTAAATTCTAAACAACTATCCTTCAAGTTTTCTATTAAGATATTTTTTAGCTAGCTTAATATTTTTATTTACTAAGAAGATTTAACAGAAATAACTAAAACAAATTTTGCAATGGTTCTTTAGACGAAAAGTAATTTATCTAAATCCTTTTTTACTTTGATTGTTACATATTTTTTTTTATCTAATAATTATAATTTGGTTAATTTAATTGTAGTTCTCCAAATAACAGACCCAATATACAGGGTTGTTCACCACAAACGACACGAACTATTGTAGCTAAACGATTAGATTTTTACAAATTGAAAGTTTTGGGTTCGTTGAAGGACTATTAGAGCTACAATTTAAAAATAATTTTACAAGATACAGAGTGTCCCAAATAAGTAAAAAATATTATAGTTGTATTTTTTAAACGGGACACCCTGTATATTATTCGATTTTTAGATTCTACGATTGAAATAAAGGTAAATTTGGTTAAGTAACCATTAAAAATGGTATAATACAATTTGATAGACAATTAAATTGTGCATCTGATTCTCGTAAAATATACAGGATGTTCCATTTAAATTAAACAAGTAAATTGCCGTTTAAAGCTAGTAATTATTTGATATAAATTTTTAGACAATCTGTATTAGGTAGTACATATTTTGTTTATTATTGCAACACAATAGCTGATCATTAAATACACTTCAGTAAATATTTAGTAATAAAAACTTTGATACCCTTGGAGAAATGAAGCCTTAAATTTTTTACTGCAATTTCACAAAATTGAAAACATTTCAAAAACGATAAGATTTAAGTATGATAAACTTTAATCAGATTTACCTTTATTTCAATCGTAGAATCTAAAAATAGAATAATATACAGGGTATTCCATTAAAAAAAAACAACTATATTATTTTTTACTTATTTGGGACACTCTGTATCTTATAAAAATATTTTTAAATTGTAGCTCTAACAGTCATTCAACGAACCCAAAACTTACAATTTGTAAAAATGTAATCGTTTAGCTACAATACTCCGTGTCGTATGTGGTGAAAAACCCTGTATACATATTGATTTTTTATTTAGCTGCAAATGAAGAAAAATGCATTTTTCCTCAAGGCAGAGGACTAGGAGGCGGTACTACTATTAATGGCGGCGTATATGTCAGAGGTCATCCGGAAGATTTTGACAGATGGGTCAGTATTACCTTAAAATAAAATATAGTTTGTCTAACAAGAGAATATAATTTCAACAGACGATATGCATAAAAAAAAAACAATAAAAGTGCAACACAATAATTGTCACTAACTCATATTCTATCGCTGGACAGACTATACCTAGATTTTAATAAACAATAATAGTAAGGATATAGAAAGAAAAACTATTTTAATTTAATTATTAACTTTCTTCTTATTTCTTTTTCTTTCGTTTTGTTAGATACTATTTTAGATTTAATTAGTGACGACTAAATTTAAATTTTAGTCGCAGCCGACCAGCGATTTATTTTTTTCTATCGTTTGACTTATAATGGCCTGGCCGTTGTTGGCTGGCCATCAGTGCGTTTCAGCTCTTATAAGGGCTTTAACTCACTAAGTCTGGCTGGGGGGTTGGGGGTATTTCGCTAATGCGCAACCCATAACATTTGCAAAAAAATAAATCCAAAAAACATTCCTTAGGCAACTTGAAATTTGTTTATTTTTAAATTCTAGCATCTATTTAACCTAGAAATAAATATGCCAGACTTTTTTTTCGGGTTTAAAGTCTAACCAGACCATTCCAAATATGTTTAATTATTATACCTGGAAAACATACTTTAGGCATTCTAAAATTTTTACAGCGTGTTTATTAGATGATATTAAAAAATATGTGTTAATTGCCAGACGAATTCAATGGGATTTAATACTTGCCAGACGCGAATAAAGATTTTAAATGAGCGCAATAAGAAAGTCTAGTCTTATGAGTATCTATAAGCGCGAGAAAGATAGTTTATTGAGACCCGGTCGGCAGCCGATGCGGCTGACGTAACAGCATTTTGGAGTCGTAAAAACTTAAAAAAAACTAACTAATATTGAATAAATAAAAAGAAACATTTTTTAATAAAAATGTACGATTGAAATCCGTTCAATAAGAAGACTTTTTAATTTAAGTATTTTGTATCTGAAAGAATAAAAAGACGAATAATTATTTAAAAATTAGCATAATATAAAATATATTTTTTTCAAACGTCACAAAAGTATAATTATTATTATACTTTTGTGACATATTATATTATTATTCATTTTTGCGACCTGATTGACAATATAAAAAAGTCATTTTAACGCCTAAGCATAAAAGTAAAGCACTTTTACTTACTTTTTAATCTATTTAGAAAGATTAACAATGGAAGGTACTTTAATAAAATTCCAGAATACTTAATTTTTAGCACTGTACATGGTACCCTTTTGTCGGGACTACGTTTTCTGGCAAAACCACTTCTTTAAATTTTAAACCATGTTGTTGACGCACTTTTAAAAATTCTTTGCATTTTTGTAGTCTGCCTTCATCAAAAACAATAACTTTGTCACTAGTTTTTACAAACTACACAATTAAATGTTTTTTATCCATTGTGATTTAGTAGTTAGTAGCGAAATTAGTAGTTACTAAAATATTTATTTGCAGTAATTATTCTAAACTATTTACACTATGCACGTCAATATTTAATTTATAAATACATATTTGTACATGGTAACTTAATTCCAACAAAATAATCTCTGAATTAAAAGCCTGCAAATAATTGAAATGAAACCGAAAAAAATTGTTTTTATGAAAATTTGAAGTACATACTCCAAAATACTGTTACGTCAGCCGCATCGGCTGCCGACGGGTCTCAATAAACTATCTTTCTCGCGCTTATAGATACTCATAAGACTTTTTTGTCGCGCTCATTTAAAATCTTTATTCGCGTCTGGCAAGTATTAAATCCCATTGAATTCGTCTGGCAATTAACACATATTTTTTAATATCATCTAATAAACACGCTGTAAACATTTTAGAATACCTAAAGTATGTTTTCCAGGTATAATAATTAAATATATTGGGAATGGTCTGGTTACACTTTAAACCCGAAAAAAAAGTCTGACACACTTATTTCTAGGTTAAATAGATGCTAAAGTTTAAGAATAAACAAATTTCAAGTTTCCTAAAGAATGTTTTTTGGATTTATTTTTTTGCAAATGTTATGGGTTGCGCAGTAGCGAAATACCCCCAACCCCCCAGCCAGACTTAGGATTCTCGGTTCACAAGTTATTAAACTTTATTTTTTTTTGTTATTCTAACTTGCCTAAAATATGTTCTCTAAATATGTCGCCAGCTCTTCGGCTATATCATTTGATTTAATGGTTTTAGAGGTAGCAGCGGCCTGGCCGGTGCGACCTGGTCGTCAGTGTGTTCAAGCCCTAACCTAAAAATAGGAAAATAAAAAACACCTATTAGATAATCACCTGGTAGATATATCTTTATTGTGGGTCAATTACTTCAAAAAGCTAGTCTCAGCTCCACAGAAGCCAAAATTATTTTTTTAATAATAATTATTTTGAAATGAATTAAAACAAATATTTTATTTAAATTTTAAATTACATAAGACTTGTTTTGAATTTAATTGTAATAAATACCATTTTTTTGGAATATTATAAAGTTAAATAAAATGCAACTTCTATCAGTCATTAAGGTGAACGACCAGATAAATTATTTACACATATGTATGTAGGTGACTTGACTTTATTTATTATCGAGATTTTTACTGTAATTCTTTTTTTCTAAAATATGCAGATAATGATAGCGCACTTTTCAAAAATATTTTCGTCAATATACAGGGGGATTAAAATATATTTTCAGACTAAAGTTGTATTTTTTGAATGGAAAGCTATACAGGGTGTCCCAGAAATAAATACAAGTATTTTTAACTTTTTTGCGAAAAAAATTCTTTATTTTTCTTGACACTTTCCGGAAAAACATTTGAGTGCCGCTTGTTCAGTTTCCGGAAATTTGTTTATAGTGCTTCGAGAGAATGCAATGTTGCCTCTTCCTACGTTATCCCACATTCTGTATGTTTATAAAATTTATAAGTTCAAATTTTTAAATTTCAACAAAAAAATAATTTTATTCGCTGTATATTTTTTAATCATTGTAGATTACTATTAAGTATAGTGCAACGTCTACTACATTCATTTTAAATAACTTTTTTACAGCCTATTAAATTGAAATAATAAAACTGTAAATAATGAACCATTATAGCAGCTTTTTTTTCGCCATATTACGATATATTTTCAATTGTTTCCCTCAATAGTTATAACGTATAAATATTTTGATATTTCTTACTCTTTGTGCGCTCCCACATATCTATTAAACTGAACAGCACATATTAAAATTCTTAGCAGGATACTATTATCATCTCCAATTATATTTAAGTATGAGCTCTCATTTTTGAAGTAAACCAATAAAATTGCATAAAATCATTGTAAAAATTCACATTTACAAAGTGTAAATATATCATATAATGTTTACTAATGACTTCCAGGTGAGTGTTTATGGCAATCCAGGTTGGTCTTACGAGGAAGTCTTGCCGTACTTCAAAAAATCCGAAAACGCCCTTTTTGAACCTAGAGATTCGTACTACCATGGTGAAGGGGGATATTGGACTGTGGATCAATGCCTAAGTACTCCAACAGTGGTATGTATCACGTAATATATTGTACAGTAACAATTCTCATAGTTTCTACTATTAGATTTTATGAAAAAAATAGTTTTAGGAAATGTGTAAATTGAAATTTGTAAAAACCAAAATTGTTGCCAAAATTGTTGTTTTTTGTATTAGTTTATTTTTTTTCTAATATAGTAATCTCTAAATTTACAGAGGGTTTATACTGGATTATCTGGATATGTTGTCATATACTATATTGAGATTAATCCATGGTATTGTAAATTTTACATTTATACCGGGTGTGTCTTAAAAGTGGCTCACGCCTATAACTTTTTTATTTTTTTCAGATAAAAGAAATGAGATTTGGTATATTAGTATATGACATTAATTAGGATTGATTGACCTATTCAATTGTTTTTGGTCACTTCCTGTTTTACCGGAAATGACTACAAATTTTGATCTTTAAATTGCACCCTCGGTATATTTTTACTTTATTCGATAGAAAATGACACTCTGAATAGAATTACATATCATGCGTCAACTTTTGACATTTTCGCTTAAAAAATCGTATTATAAATTTCAATCTAGAGTGCCATGGCTGTATTAAAAATACTAATTTTTAATCAAGGAGCCTTGGAAAAATAGATTTGATCATCTAATGTTTTTCATCGTCTTGTCCTGGCCGTTTAAAAGATGGCCAAATCGTGTTTTAATCATGTCTTATTTTTTCAAATTGAACAAGGGTGACTCATTAGTATATTTGGAAAAAGATTTTTTTAACGAATAATTTGGTACCACACACTTGGTATTTCGTATATTAAATTAACCAGATGAGAAAATTTAATGTCAAAAGTTGATCTATTTATGTCATTCTATTCAGAGTGGCATTTTATACCGAATAAAGTGAAAAGATACCGAGGGTGTCATTTGAAAATCAAAAGTTGTAGTTATTTCCGTTGAAACAACAAGTGACCGAAAACAATTACTGAATAAATCAATCAATCCTAATTTATGTCATATACTAACATATCAAATCTTGTTTTTTATATAAAAAAAATAAAAAAAAAGTTATAGGGTTAGCCAATTAACGGCACCCGGTATATGTATTTTATATTTTTAATAATTGTTTTATTTACTATTAATTTCTGAGAATTCTATATTTGAATATTTTTGACATATTTGATTGTTGTTCGATCGAACAATGGAAGAAGATTGGTCCATCTAGTAGCCTATTTTCATTAAAAGGTATTGAACTGATTAATTTCCTGTTTATGTAAAAGGTGTTTTTGGTTCGACTCTGCGATTTTTGCACTTTTCACTACACGTTGGGCGCCAATTTATAATTAGGCCAGTAAGCGAGGATAAAAAAAAGTGTATTACCTCCGAATTCTTGATACCCGCACCGATTGAAGTGAACTTTTAACAGTGAATAGAGGTAAGAAACAAAAAATGTTTGCTTTCACTCTGGGGGTGAGTACCACCCTTTCTCAGGAGTGAAAAATAAATCACCCATTTTATGAATTCTAAGTAAAAAAAGTTCTATAACATTTTTTCAGAAAATTAATATTTTCCGAGATATTTAGGATTGAACCTTGCGCTTTATCGCAAAACACATATAAAGTAAAAATGAAGTTTTTGGAATAACCAATCGACTCATGCATGCTGATTACCGTAGGTGCAATAATAGCCGAGTTATCACTCTGAAAATGTGATTTTTTATTTTTCGAAAACTAAATTGCAACCATTTACCGTAAAATAATGGCGAAAGAACACATTTTTCGAAGAAAATGAATACGACCGTTTTTAAAGTTCTTGAAAAGACCTTTAAAATGCTATTTTAAAAGGTCTTTTTAAGTTCGTAGCTCAAAAACTCGGGGAGTTATGATAAAATAAAATGGTCACCTCATTTTTCGAAAAAAAAATCACAACAAAATCTATGACTAAAATCATAAAAATAAAAACTATCAATTTGCATGAAGTTACACTAGCTACAAATTAACCTCTATAGTTGAACAGTCTTTAACTCATTATTTCTACGAGATTTTTGGTTTTAAGTGCTCAAAGAAGGTGGTCCTTACACGCAAGCCAAACTAAAAAAACGTAATATCTACGAAATAAAGAGATCTACAGCAAATTGAAATATAGCAAAAATATTGCAAAAAAAAGACTTTCAATTTTACTCTGTTGCATTTTTACTTATCTACTACTTACTTACTGGCCTAAAGGGATTTCTAATAAGTATTTTAGAGGTCGATCAATATAATTAAGTAGCTAATAAAAACTTGTAGAATCGTTTTAATAAACTAAACCTTTTATTGCCAATCTTTGACGTGTTACAAAAGTTATTTCACTTCATTTATCTTGTCGAGTGAGAACCTTATTTCACTTCATTATCTGTCTATCCCTCTTCAAAATAATGGACTCGTACAAAAAGACGCGTCACAATAGTAGCTAATAAAAACTTGTAGAATCGTTTTAATAAACTAAACCTTTTATTGCCAATCTTTGACGTGTTACAAAACTTATTTCACTTCATTTATCTTGTCGAGTGAGAAACTTATTTCACTTCATTATCTGTCTATCCCTCTTCAAAATAATCTCGTACAAAAAGACGCGTCACAATATTCTTCTGTGTTACAAAATCAATTATTTGATTATATTTCATTTTATTAGGTTGATCTATTCAAACCTCTCTTTAAAGAGAAAGGCATCGACTTCATCGACGACTATAGTGGAAAATATGAAAATGGAATTGCACAATATCAAATGTCTCTAAAAGGAAACGAACGTGTCAGCACGTATTCGGCATTTTTGGAAAACTTTACGTCTAGATCTAATTTAAACATAAGTTTGAACAATTTCGTGACTAAGATTGCCATTAATAAAGCCACCAAAACCGCCTACGGTGTATATTTTGTGAAGGATGGAGTAAATTATTTTGCGAAAGCCAAAAAAGAAGTTATTGTATCAGGTAAATATAACATAATTATAAAATATTATGCAATATTGTAATTATATATTTGACAGATAAAGAAATAAATATATTAGAATGATGAACAATGTTTATGTGTCAACATAATTTTAATATCTATGATAATCACTTTATATTATATATGTTGCAGGCGTATAGAATAATCCGGATTTTTGCAAAAAGACTAGGCATATTATAAAATACCGGTTTTTCAAACAAAAGAAGGAATTTTTACAAAAAGCCTATCTATTTTCAGTCACTTTGCAAAAAGCCTAATCAGAATTAGGCATATTAAACAATGACGATATTTTCTGTACACTTCTACAAAAAGAGTGCCCGTTTTCAGTCGTTTTACAAAATGCCAAATTGTGACCAGGCAGATTAAAGAATGATCAAAGTTTAGTCAGCTATGAGCATAAGCATATTTAATAATTTACGCTTTAATAAAAATACCCCATATTTTTCCCAAACTTTACTCTGTTTTGAGAAAAACTTGAAACCTATTTCATAAATTATAATTATAAGTAACATAATTTTAAATACCATATATATTAAAACCTTAATATTAATATTATCTCATTTAATTATTATACACTGTAATTTGATTCTGTGTACAGAGCTGCAACTTTGCTTTCTTTTTTTAGAACTTTTATTCTTTTAGAATAAAATGAATTTAGACCTTTATAATAATCGTCTTTAACCATACTCTATTTAACAGAATTATCACTTTTTGTGCCATCATTTCCTAATTTTGAAAGAGAAGTTCAAGAAATGTCGTTGGATAAATTTAGGTTAGTTTTACCAATCCCGCGTAAAATGTTTTATGCAATCTGACTAGTTTTCATTAGGCATTTTGCAAAGCAACTGAAAACAGATAGGCTCGTTGTCAAATATCCTTCTATTGTTAAAAACGCCGGCGTTTTATAATATGCCTAGTCTTTTTGCAAAATGACAAGTTATTCGATACGCCTGCTACATATATATATATTTTTTCTTGTATTTAGTCATTGCAGTAAGTTTTTGCAAGGCTTTAGAAGAACATATAAGGTATTATATAAAAACTTTTTGTATGATTTTCATATAATTTATAGTTTTGTATTATATCATTTGTTTTATAATCATTTAAATAATTTACTAAATCGGGAATGAAAGCACAAGACGTTTTTTTAATCTACTGTAGTTTAGGTCAATTTATTGTAAAGTACTTTTCATTATTATTTTAACTCTGTCGTGAAATATCAAGTATATAGCTATATCAATCGATTATACGTAGTAACATAAAAAATTAATATAATTAATGGATTTTCATTGCCGAAAGGTACATCTATCAAATGGATATTTTATAAAACAAAGAACAGAGAATATTTATGGCGCAACATAATTTTAGTGTTTATGATACTCACTTTATATTTGTTTTTCCTTTGTTTAGTCATTGAACTAAGTTTTTGTAAGACTTTAGAACATACGGGGTATGATGAATAAACTTTAAAAAACAATCGACAATAATTTCTGTAGGGCAAACTCAAATACGTCATTTACAAAAGACTGGCATAAGAAATACTAAAAATATAATATTTAAATCGGAAAAACGAAAAAAGTCCACAGAATTGCTAATTTATTTAGACGCAAATCTATTCAATAATTTTTTTTAAATAGGCCTGGAGACTTTATTTTTCTCTGAAATATAAAATTTTGAAAAAAAATTATGTCAATTAGTCATATAGGCATACAGATTACATATACTATACGATATATCATTGGAATTTCGGAAACCGCAAGAGATACAGGATCGGTTAAATGGAGGCAAAGTTGCACAATTTGATGCTCAATAAAATTCCGTATTGCATTTTGAAAAATTCCGAATACTTTCGAATATATTCGAAAAAAAAACGGAATTTTCGATTTTGTTTTCTATTGTTTCCTGGCTTTATTTGTTAAGATAACTTAAAATATGAAAAATACATTTTCATGGCCACTTTTTCTGCTCTATAACTCTGTGTGATTAAATATTGACTCTGACTTTTCGGCTTCTGGCGACCATCATCAACTTAATTTTTTTAAATACGAACTTGATTTTTTTTTCATTTTAATTAAATCCTTTCATCACTCTTAGAACACTATATATAGTCACTTTGATATTTGCCGACGTTTCGTATAGAAAATACCAGAAAAATCACCAAAATATTTTATGCTAAAAAAATACATAAAAAACAAAAATGCAATACGGCATTTTATTGAGCATCCAATTGCGCAACTTTGCCTCCATTTAACCGATCCTGTATCTCTTACGGTTTCCGAAATCCCAATGATGAGCGGCGAATTCGAGCCACCCTGTGCATTACAATTAGACATATTGGACCAAAAGAAATTTTCAATAGTCATTTTAAAGACTACTGTAATCAGCGTTTTTTTTTGATCTGATGATATTTCCTGGTTATAAACGTTGTAAAAGTTAGCGGTTTCTATAAGTCTTATTTGTGAATGTTTGAAAAAAATAGAAATTAAATAATACTATTACCTGTCTTGTTTAAGAAAGACTGTTTTAAAAGTGTGAACATTATTATAGATTTTATAATTATTAATACGTTATTATAGTTTGTAGAATTATTATTCATTACACCTAAATTTCTTCATTAAGTTTGTATTTATTATTATTTATTATATTTAATGTTTCTCGCTTGTTATAGCCGGAGGAGTTAATTCTGCTCAGCTGCTTATGCTATCTGGAATAGGACCAAAGAAACATCTAAAAGATCTGAATATACCTCTAGTCAAAAATCTTCCTGTTGGTCAAAATTTACAAGACCATGTAATGTTTATTGGATTAATATTTAGGTAAGATTTTAAAAGAGTTCCTCGTTTTACGCGGGGTTACCGGTTATGTTCTTTGAAAACACCCCGTATATTCATATAAACTTTTTTCACAGGGTGTAGTTTATGTAATATACAAATATTTTTATGTAAACTCACCGGCAAAAAAAACCGGCCACTAAAAACTAGATCCAATTTCAAAGTCGAATTACTCGCGAACCACTCATTCGATTTTGATGATTTTTTTTTAAATTATAAATTAATTTCTTTTTGACGGATGCTACGTCAGAAATTTTTATTCCGAATTTATTTTGAGCATATACAGGGCACTACAATAAGACGAAGTTTTTTGCCCGAACTTTGTAACACCCTGTAGGGTGCAGCAACGGTAGTAGCTATTGCTAAATTAAATCACATTGTAGCCTCATCTTTTGTGAGCATTTTGTTTTTTTAATCACCACATTATCTCTTTTTGTATAGGAGAAATGCTGTTTTAAAATGAACGGTCTCGGAAAAATGCTTCGCAGGCAGAAAGTTTTCGGTGTAAATAATCAAGGCGACATGGTGAAAACGGATTTATAAGTATTTGCAACATTACAAAAACGGTTGTCAAATTAAAAAATGCCATTATCTGTAACGGATGTTGCACGTATTGCGGCTTTAATTGAGGATGGCCGAAGTAAATGTTATGTCTCTGATACCCTGGGTATATTTAACAGTCCAGGATGCCTGGAATCGGCATATGGAAACGGGAATTTCACCAGGCAAGTGGACACAGATATTAGTCCCTTAAAATTTCTTTACCTTTTTTTTATTTTCATGTTTTAGTTAGTTTTCAGGTTAAACTTACCTACGTTCTGATGTTTGACTTCTTTTTAAAGTTTTTTTCGATGCGTTTGTTTTAAAACAAACGGACTAGTTTTTAGTGACCGGTTTTTTTTTGCCGGTGAGTGTATATTGTAATATACCACTTTCGACTAAAACACATCTATAGTTCATATGAAATAAACTTTATGTCATGTGATTAAGCCTGTCCGGCACAGCGTTTCCACTATTACATATTTTCTTTTAATCAAAACATTTTAAGAAACAAAAATAAATTAATTATAAATATATAAACAGTTATTACTTACATCATCAAAACTCACCTCCAACAGTAATTAAGGGATTATAAAGGGTCATTACTACAGTTTTCCCGTTCAAAATGTTCTAATAAGATTGCGAGGAGTTTTTGCAATGGCTATTAAGCTATCTTGTATACTTCGCACTAAATGAGGTTCTAAAAAGAACAATGATCGACTCCAAGGTCTGCTAGTTAACATTTTAAAGCTTCATTCAAAGTATCATAACACTATTTATTTAAACCAAAAACTCGTAATACAAAACTAAAGTGTCCAAACGAATAAAAGTGCCAGGAAATAATTAAATAAATGTGGCAACTTGACATTTTAAATTCCAGTTAGCCAGCCCGGCGCCGAATATGTCCATGGTTGGCAATAATGAATTTAAAAATGCCGTCTTTCGGCCAGTCAAAGATCAAATATTCTTTATTCTTCAGTCAAACATGAGAGAGCGTCCTCACAGACGCCGGGTTAGGTTAGGATACAACAGTTGTACAGATATGGACGAAAAGCTATTACTTTTCACAACAGAATAACAAACATGTGGTATATAGCGCCCCCATAAGCAGAGGGGTCATACTAATATCGACGTTAATTACGAAATTATTTGAACCAAATAAAGTGAAAAAAAGCATCTCAGAAGTGATCCCCGAAAAGAAGCATTTTAGGACATAATTTTAGGCAAACTTTTTTACTTATTTTTCTCTGCAGACCACCCTGTATATTAGATGCTATTTTTTTAATGAACTATTTATGAGAAAACCCTTCTCTTGATCGGTCTAAACAAACAAAAATAAATATAATTATTTTCTTTTTCTGATATGTTTAGGACGAACAGAATATTCTACAATCAAACTATGGCTGAAATGCTGAAACTTTATGAAGAAAATCAACGCCCTCTCATGACCGGTTATTCAGTGGAACTCGTGTCATTTACCAATTTTGGCAGAAACCAGACCATCAGGCCGGATATAGAGTATCAGATTTCCACACCACCACCAAGCGGCAGTCAGTTCGAATTCTTCTTTGGGTAAAAATATCAAATTAACTTAATATTAGCCAGTTTGATGTCTGGATATTATTTTTAAAAGTGTTAATTAGCAGAGTAACAACTTAAATTATTTCACTGACAATTTTACAAATGAATAAAAAATTACTTAGAATAGAGTAGAACATTGGACATTGACTAGAGTGGAAACTCGCCAGTAAGGTATACTACCATATGATCGAAAAAAAAAAACGGCGTCAAAGACGGTTGGGGAATGACAATCGATGATAATTTTGGCGAGGTTAAGCCCGAGATGTTATTTAATTGGTCTGTACTCAGTTGGCCTTAAGAAGGTTGTAATTAATTTTTATATTGAGTAAAATGATTTTTAAATAGTGTAGTTTAAAATTCGAGACAAATATTTTTTTTGAGAAAATATTTGTGTGTTTGGAAACGTTTTATTCTGTTTTAATCTTCCTATACATGCTGTTAATTTCAGATAAGTTTTATGTCAATTTTTATTAAATAGTCGCTGTAAAGTCGAAATCTCAACTTCAAGTTCCTCGATTTTTAAATAGGTGTATTTGATACTTAAATATTTCATGCCGGACAAGAGCATAAACCCCATATCTCAATATTTCGTTTATAACTCCTGCGCTGCACGTAAAATATTGAGATATGGGCTCTTGTGCGGCATAAAATATTTAAAAAATATCTATACCTTTGTAGCGGATTCACCTCTTCAAAAAGTCCTATGGGTATATCGCCAATTACACTGTAAGAACATCTACCAAATAAACTAATTATTTTTGTAAACACTGTTGCGTTAATTAATTCAACAAATGTTCTCAACGAACTTGTTAGCAATGATTTACTAATAAACAAATTTGCCTAACAGACAATAAAATTTCTCTTCCCGTCGTCGGAAGCAAAAAAAAGAACAAATAAAAAAAACATTTAAAATATCTAAATACAACTATTCAAGTAGACTTTAGTTTTTTTCAACAGATTCAACAGAATCTATAAAGCTAGGCGTAAATTGAGTCGCGTGTATCGCGTATGACGTGACTTGACATGACATGGCGCGACCGGCATGACGCGACGCGGCACTCGCGCTGCTTGGTGGTCCGCCAAATTGGGACGCAGTTTTTCAGTGACTTACCTCTGCTATCGTATAAAAACGGCTGCATAAAAAATGTCTGATTCGCCATCGAAACAATTATTGTTACTAAACTTTAGTTCTGAATCAGAATCAGATGATGCCGAAGTGTAAATTTTACTGTATTCAATAATCAAAATCAAAGCACGCGAACGCGAGGCACGCGTCAGTTCACGCGGGTCGCGTCGTGCTGCCAATTTGCGCTGTCCCATTTATTTCTGTTTACAAAAACTCGCGTCGTTCTAGGTCATGTCTCACGCGATAGACGTGACTCAATTTGCGCTTAGCCTACAAACAGTTGACGTCCTGTTAACACATAGCAACGTGTCACCCCATGTTCCATTCATTTATGTATGACAATGCTTTATCCAAAGAGTCTACGTCGTTCATTTATGTATGACAGACCCCGAATGGTTTAAGTGACACTACCATATAACTGGTACACTGCACTGATCTGAAAGCGTGGCCCTAGGAGAATATCAAGTTATACTTGGTTCACCAAAAAAAAATTCAAAAAGGCTCAAAATTAAAAAAGTATACAAAAACATAAATCACAAACGTATTAATATGTTTGCATTAAGTGAATTATGGGAACACTCTTAGGACCCCTTGGCGTAATGTTTATTTTTACATTTGGCACTCAATGTGTTAAAATGGCATTTATATCAAGTTAAACTTCAAAATTAATAATTACTACTTGGTAACAAGTATTTAATGAGGCCAAACCTTTGAATAAGAAGACTAAGGAAGGAGCATAATGCTATCCATGTATTCATGCATGGTGGGCGGAAAAGGCACCATAAAAGCTCTCTAGGGTGGGGATCCTTGACAGTTCTGTTTGACGATTCATTTGACACATCTGAATTTGATTTGAAATTTTGTGGATTTGTCAGTCTTTATGGAGCTTATTTTATGTTATTTATTATTTATTCTACTACTGATAGTTGTATAAAGGTAGTAAATCTAGATGGAAATTGTGACAGAACTTAAATTAACAGTGACACTATCGCGATTTATCGAAAAAGACTCTAAAATAGTTGGTTGTGTAACGTGTGGTAGATCTCGGCAAAAATTGAGTGAAATAATGGAACAACTTTTCGCTAGTAAGTGACTCTATAATATACATACGTGTAGTAAACCGATCATTTATGAAATTCACTTAAATTAACTAAATTATATATTTTTCTTGCATTTTAGCTTTGATTTTAGCTTTTATTTATTACTTGTCAAAGATTAGATGTCAAAGAATTTAGATACGTTAATTTGACTTACCTGCTTCAGTAGCGTATCGGATGTTTGTGTTAATAAATACCGAGATAAATACTTATTATAACTTATCTATTTTTATTAGAATTATATATTTTTATAACAATTTTAATAACTACCAACATTTATTCACAACGTAAAATAAAACAACAAATTATTGAGTCTACCCCACGTCTACCCTACATCACAGTTTTACATTTTTTAAATAAAATTAGAACGACACTGATAAACCGGAATTTAAGTCGGCCATATTTGAGGCCCATCGCGGTGTACCCTTTTGGTGTACCTAAAATTTTTGATATGCTCCTTCCTTAGTCTTCTTATTCAAAGGGTCAAACCAAAAAACCTCAAACTTTTTGTACATGATTATCTTTTACTTGTTTTTAATTTTTACTTATGTTATGTACAGGGTGTCCCACTAAGAATAGCTCTCGGCTGTATCTCGGAAAGTATTAGCCGTAGGGGCTGCGGAAAAAAATATTTGTAACTAAAGAGGCTATGAGAAATTGCTGGAGATGATTTTCAAGTTTGTAGAACGACCGCTAGGGGGCGCAACTGCAACAAAAAATAAGAAAATGGAGTTTTTACACCATTTTGTCTAGATAAGGTGTACTATAAGTAATAGCTTCATAATCTTCAGTAAATTTTGAATATTATTTGTTAGAGTCATTTTCCCATATCTACCAAAATAAAGTGGTGGGGGAAGGTTAGATCTATTTTTATTTAAATATTAATAACTCTCGACTGGATAATCGGAATCCAACAAGCGAGGGCTCGTTTAAAAGAGCGTTTCTTACTCTATATTGTACCATATAAACAATAATAATAATAATCTTTTGAACGTAGGCGCTAGGGGGCGTTGTCTTACAATTTAACAAACATTGCACGTTTCTTCAAAAAAATTAAATGCAATAGTATATGTAATTTTAACTGATAGTAAAGAGTAGTAAAAGTTTAAAAAGTCAGCGAAAACCGCATATTGATATCTTCTTTCAAACCAAAGATATTAACAAAATTATAATAAATACCAAAAAATAAGCCCTTAATTACCTTATTTTTACAACACGGTATCAGTAGCCTTCTTGATTATGCCCAACAACTACAACTATTTCAAATAATAAAGGCATTTTGAAAAAGCAATTAAAAGATAAAAAACGCTGATAAGAAGACTATCAAAATGTTGATCTAATAACAATTTGACGTTTATACTATTACGTCAAAAGCAACTTTTTTCAAAAGCCTACCATGACTTCACTGAATTATCGTTTCTTGTTCACTGTTATTAATATCTTAATTATTAGATATTAATACCTCTTGTATTATGGTATTCTGGTATATCGTCGATTTTAAAATAAACTAACTATTTCTATCTTATTTTTTTATTAGAATGGGAATAATCAGGGCTACTGATACCGTATTGTAAAAATAAGGTAATTAAGGGCTTATTTTTTGGTATTTATTATAATTTTGCTAATATCTTCGGTTTGAAAGGAGATATCAAGTTGCGGTTTTCGCTGATTTTTTAAGCTTTTACTACTCTTTACTATCAGCTAAAATTACATATATTCTCGTATTTAATTTTTTTGAAAAAACGCGCTATGTTTGTTAGATTGTAAGAAAGCGACCCCTTGCGTCTAAGTTCAAAACCTTATTATTATTATTTTTATGGTACAATATAGAGCAAGAAGCTTGTTGGATTCTGATCATCCAGTCCGGAGTTATTAACATTTATATAAAGATAGATCTAACCTTCTCTCACCACTTTATTTTAGCAGATAGGGGAAAATGTTTTTAAAAAAGAAAATCTAAAATTAACTGAAGATTATGAAGCTATTATTTATAGTACTCATTATCTAGGAAAAATTCTGTAAAAATTCTTTTTTCTTATTTTCCACAGTAGTTGCGCCCCCTAGCGGCTGTTTTACAAACTTGAAAATAATTTCCAGTTTCTCATAGCCCCATTAGTTATAAATATTTTTTTCCGTAAGCCCTACGGCCAATACTTTCCGTGATACAGCCGAGAGCTATTCTTAGTGGGACACCCAGTACATTAAAATGAAAGAAGCTTGCCAAATTATCATCGATTCTCCAGGCGTCTTTGACGCCGTTTTTTTCGATCATACGGTTAATACCTCAGATTAAAACTTTATACGCTCGAAATTCGATTAAGTATTATTTAGTTCTTAATTCGTAATTCAATAAAGATTGCTTGCCAAAATATTTTTCTGATTATGCGTCTCAATAGAACAGATGGTTTCACGTTTTGATTAGAACAGGTGCACTGAGACACCTGATCAGAAAAATATTTTGGCAAGCAACCTTTATTGAATTTAGCACTGTACGATGTTTCAGTATAAATGATTCTTTCGTGGAGGCTATTAATATCAACACAAGCAGTGACATCAATTTATTCATTTATCTGATGCACCCCAAATCTCGAGGTTCCATAACTCTGAAATCGAATTCTCCATTGGATAAACCTCTGATCGATCCCAACTACTTCGCCGAAGATGAGGATATAGAAACCTTGTATCGTGGAGTCGAACTCATTTTGAGCATGAACAACAGTCAGATTTTAAAGGATTATGGAGCTTATATCGTCGATGTCGAATATCCATATTGCGAATCGTATGAAAAGTTCAGTAAGGATTGGTGGCTATGTGCAATTAAATATTTTTCTTATTCAGTAAGTATATTAAGTTTTCCAGAGTAATTTTTAAATATATGCGAGTATAGTTACTAGTTGTTCTAAAAGTACGAAATGATTAATATTTCAAAAAGTGTGGAAGATTTTGAATTTTGAAGAATTTGACATGGTCATTTAATATCATTTAACAAGGAAAATCTACATATATAAAATGCTAATGTTTATCTGTGTCCTCGCTACTGAAGTAACGACTTGCTCTAGAAAGTTGCTTTTTTTACTAAAAGATAACTAATTGGCTCTTCTAAAAACTGTCGTCGCCGGATTTTTTGTTTTTTATTTAATTAAAAAAATAAAATAAAAAGTATTTTTTTCCTGATGTCGTAGCGGATGCGCCAGGCTTCAACTAGTAGGCAATATTTGTATAAGAACTATGTATGTCTAATAATAACCCAATTAACATTTAAAAAAAAACTGGCTAAATTAACGCTAGCGGTATACAGGGTGTTTTAAAAAAACATGTGCCATCTCTCGTGGGGAGATTCCTCACGTAAAAATAAGATTTATTTTTCATATCAATATAGGTCCGATTCTGCTTTGTTTCGAAGCTACAGGGTATTACTAGTCTTAATATGTTTTCGATTTATTATAATTTTCTTCCAAGTGCCTATTTTTAGCGTTTTGAATGAAATTTTGAAAAGTTACTATAAATGCGACATAAAAGCTAAAAAAGTGTTTATTAAAAGTGTTATATATTCACCAGGGACGTGCATATGGGTTATCACTGGAATATTTTTCTAAAAAAAGCATGTACACCACTGACTTTTTTTTCTCTTGTCAGTAAAATAGTGTAAGCAGTTTAATGCCGATTAAAGTTGTCTTTTTTTATTTTGTCGATTTCGGCCTCCTTGATGAGATAAACGCAATTTTATTAATTTGCTTTGATCCAGGTCTAATAGCAACCTTTAAAAAAAATTAATATCTTTAACTTGCGAAAGTTTTAAATAAGTACTGATTGATTTCTTATCAAAAAATATGAAAAAAAGTTCCTATGAACATGGGTATGGAAATGCAAAGTTTTACGGTTACAGTATGTTATAAAATTTTTAAAATTAGGTTTTTTGTAATTCTCTTAAATACCATTATTTTTTATTTGAAATTGCTGTAGGTTAGACTAATTAGTAATAATAACTGATAGTAATAATATTTAGTAATAAATTAGGTAAAATATATAATTTATTAATTTTCTTTTTATTTTAATTATATTAATTGTGATTAATAACATTGCTTTTATCTCATCAAGAAGGCCGGATTCGACAAAATATCAAGAGATAACTTTTAATTGGCATCAATGGGCCTACACAATTTTTATGTATATTTTTTTATAACATGTTTTTTTTTTTGAAAAATATTCATTAGTGATAACCCATATGCACATCCCTGATGAATTAATCGATACGGTTTTAGCATTAAAATATGTAGCACTTATAGTAACTTTTAACTTCAAAATTTTATTCGAATCACTAAGAGTACTTGGAAGAAAATTATATTAAATGGAAAGATTATTAAGACTAACACCCTGTAGTTAGAAACAAAGCAGATTAGGACCTATGTTCATATGAAAAATAAATCTTATTTTTACGTCAGAAATCTTCCCACGAGAGATGGCACATGTTTTTTGAAACACCATGTATATTTATGAATACCGCCGATCAAGGTAAATTTTTCATGTACGGCCGTGGTTGCTAAATATACAGAGTGGTCCGAACTGTTTTCCAGAAACAGGTTCCAGGAAATAGTTTCGGAGATGCAGGGTATAGAAGTTTTATTTTTATTTCGATTTTTTCCAAATAATTTCTGAAGTAACGTCAATATTTGGATGAAAATTGGCGTATAGAAGTTTTTTGACATGAGAAATTTGAATTTGATGTCAATATGACTCCTACTTGTAGAGGGCGCCACCTACATATTTTTAACTGGTTTGAAGAGTAATAACTTCGTCCGTACCTGTAGAAGAAGAAGAAGAAGAATTTTATATAAGCCGCATCAGATGCTGGGTCATTTAGCGGCATTGATCAAATTAAAGTTAAATTAAACTATATCAATGAACCCAAACCCGATGCCCTAATAAACTGGAACAAAGAATGTAGGTTATTAGCATCAAGAACGGAAGCCAGATCGCCATTCACACCAAATGATTGTCTTAAGTTATTGAAGGAGGGACATTCTATTAGGAGGTGGTACACTGTTAATTGGTTGCCACAGTGAGGGCAGTTAGGCGGGGGTCGCCTTTTAAAAGGAAAGAATGGGAGAAATAGCAGTGACCCAACCTGAGCCGATTCCAAATGATTTCCTCACTTCTGGACAGTGACCGAGCTACAGAAACTTGAAAGAATTGAGGTTTACATTCATATAGCTTATTTGAGTCTCCTGTCACTTCCCACTCTGCCTGGATACCAATTTTTATTGTGGACATATGTAGAAATTTAAGTTCAGAGATAGAAAATGCAAGTGGTATAAAATCTCCATCATTTGCTGCAGTCTTAGCAATCTTATCAGCATCTTCATTACCTCTTATACCCACATGGCTAGGAATCCATACTAGATCCACAGTTGATATGACGTGTTTATTTTTGGTCAATAATGTCATGTATTGACTGTTTCCATTTTAAATATCTTGAGAACGGTTGCTCGTAGCGATTTTTACCAAGAAACATTTTTTACGTAAAAAATCACGAAAATGTAATTTTTTTCATTCAGTAGTTTTATACATGTACGGACGAAAAGTTATTACGAAACAGTTAAAACACATGGAAGTGGCAGGCATGATACGAACTTTTTTACTTATTTTTATCTACAGAATATACTGCCGAAGTTTCCGGAATATAGTTCGGACCACCCTGTATACTAAAAAATCGTTGCTCCCATATTTTGTAAAGAGATACAATCTCAATAATAACCTCATTTTAATATTTCTCCTAGACTTTTCATGCAGTCTCAGCCAATAGAATGGGCCCGGATCCGAAAACATCTGTTGTTAATGCCCGATTGCAGGTTTATGGAATGAAAAATTTAAGAGTAGTGGACAGCAGCGTGTTGCCGGAACTGATTTCGGGTCATATCACTGCACCTGTTCTAATGCTGGCAGAAAAAGCTTCGGACATCATAAAAGAAAAATACAATAGACACTAAATGTATAAAGTAATATACATTAATCAATTAATAAAATATACATTATCAACTATTTAAAATCTTAATGAGTTTGATTAATTTATTAAACAAATATTATACTAAGATAAAATAAGTATTAGAAAAATAACATGTCTAGCAAAAGAGGTCTTTCTGTAATCTATACTAATATATAAAATCCTTAAGTGAATACTGATTAATCACGATCCTGCTCAAACCACTCAACGTAAGAAGCTCAATTTTGGCATACAGGTTAATTCTAGGGTGTAGAGGTTCGATAAGAAGGGATTTTTCGAAATTCCAGTTCCAAGAAGGTGAAACCACCCCTCAAATATTACAATATTTTTTATTTAAAAAACGGTCAAGTTTCCGAAAAAACACTTAAACACGTATATTTTATTTTGTTTTTTTACATATTTTAAGATTTTTTAAAAATGTATACAGGGTGTTTCGAAAAATCTGGTCATTGATTAATCACGATCCTGCTTAAAGCGCTTGACGTAAAAAGCTGATTTTTGGAAAACAGATTGACTTTAGGGTGTAGAGGTTCGATAGGAAGGATTTTTCGAAATTCTGGAATTCTAAGGGGTGAAACTATCCCTCAAATATTAAAATATTTTTTATTTAAAAGTTTGGTGAGTTTTTCGGAAATACTCTTAAACACGTATATTTTATTTTGTTGTTTTACAAATTTTAAGATTTTTATAAATTTATACAGGGTGTTTCATAAAATATGACCATTGAGTAATCACGATTCTGCTTAAACTGCTTGACGTTTAAAGCTGATTTTTGGCAAATGGATTGACTGTGGGGTGTAGAGGTTCGGTAAGGAGGGGTTTCTCGAATCTAAAATTCCAAGAGGGTGAAAACGCCCCTCAAATATTACAATATTTGTTATTTAAAAAACGGTTAGTCTTTCGGGAAAACGCTTGGACAAGCATAATTATTTGTTTTTTTTACATATTTTGTAAAAAAAACCAAATTTGGTTGGGTAATTTCTTAACTACGATTCAGCTTAAACTGCTTGACGTAAAAAGCTTATTTTTGGCAAACGAATTTTTCGAAAGCCAAATTCTAACGAGATAAAACTACCTCTCAAATATTACCAAATTATATAATAATATAACCATATTGTTTTTCTCATGCTGACATAAATGTCAGAAAATTTGATCCAGTTTGTATGTTAAAGGAAATTCTTGCTTTGCTTTATCATCACCATTACAAATGATTAATTCGACGCGAACGAAGTCGCTGGTACACGCTAGTCTATACTAATATATAAAATCCTTAAGTGACTGACATACTGATTAATCACGATCCTGCTCAAACCACTCAACGTAAGAAGCTCAATTTTGGCATACAGGTTGATTCTAGGGTGTAGGTTCGATAAGAAGGGATTTTTCGAAATTCCAGTTCCAAGAGCGTGAAACCACCCCTCAAATATTACAATATTTTTTATTTAAAAAACGTATATTTTATTTTGTTTTTTTACATATTTTAAGATTTTTTAAAAATGCATACAGGGTGTTTCAAAAAATCTGGTCATTGATTAATCAAGACCCTGCTTAAAGCGCTTGACGTAAAAAGCTTATTTTTGGAAAACAGATTGACTTTAGGGTGTAGAGGTTCGATAAGAAGGGATTTTTCGAAACTCGAATTCTAAGGGGGTGAAACTATCCCTCAAATATTAAAATATTTTTTATTTAAAAACCGGTGAGTTTTTCGGAAAATCTCTTAAACACGTATATTTTATTTTGTTGTTTTACATATTTTAAGATTTTTTATAAATTTATACAGGTTGTTTCATAAAATATGACCATTGAATAATCACGATCCTGCTTAAACTGCTTGACGTTTAAAGCTGATTTTTCGCAAACGGATTGACTGTGGGGTGTAGAGGTTCGATAAGGAGGGGTTTTTCGAATCTCAAATTCCAAGAGGGTGAAAACGACCCTCAAATATTACACTATTTGCTATTTAAAAAACGGTTAGTCTTTGGGAAAAACGCTTGGACAAGCATAATTTATTTGGTTTTTTTACATATTTTGAAATTTTTTAAAAAATCATACAGGGTGTACCAAAAATTTGTGTAATTTCTTAACCACGATTCTACTTAAACTGCTTGAACAACAAAAAATATATAAATAAAAAATTGATATACATATTAAAAACAAACATATTTTGAAAATGTTTCTCGTATGTCTTCAAGATATTTGTTCTGAAGCATGCATCTTTGCTTTCTGTAACAGTTCTGCATCGTTGAAACGTATATACATACAGGGTGAGTCTTAAATAAGTGCAAATATTTTCTGGTGTTGTATATTTCGACCCCAGGAACACGTCTATGAGGCTTTTTTCACAAAAAAAGATATTGAAAATCGTGCATTTCCTTTTAAATTTCCCTGTATATTTTTGGAAAACTTTAGAACTGCCTGTTCAGCGCAAATTTTCCAACGGTATAATTTCTTAATCTCTGATATTACCATAGTTATGGCTTTACTCCATGGTTACGGCACTAAAAGGGATGCAAAAGAGAAAAAATCCGGTGGCTCTCAAAATTTTCAAAAAAGATAATTTTTTTTAAATATTCAAACTGAATTATTCGGTTATTTTGGACTTATTTGAAAAATGGTAAAGAGAAAATGTGTTTCTGTTATCGAGATCTACCAGCCCTGAAAATATTTGCACTTATTTAAGACCCACCCTGTATATACGAGTATATCTATAGATTTCGTTAAAATTTTAAAAAAAGTTACTTTCCACTTCATATAAACCGGAAAGTCTCCTGTTAATTTGACTTACTATGATATTATTTTTTTTATAAAATACATTCGTTCAAAAAAATCTCATTTCGAGAATATTTTGATTATTTTTTTCATCAAAATATTGTTTTGATCCTTTTATTCTATTACTAGATACTCAATTGTGCTGTAATGTTTCATTCGGTTGCCAAATTATCAGTTTCATTTTTCAATTGATCACACTGATTTCAAAGGTTCGAAACGCTTTCAGATACAAAGACATACAGTCGAACGAACAGAAACTAGGGATAATTTTTGCTCAATGCACACCAATGTTAAAAATAGTTTGATTTGGGTGACCCAGGCTTCCGAAAAAGTTCTACAGTATGTCCCCGGTCTTTACAAGGGGAAAAACTTTTTTAATATTGACATTTTGGGAAAATTGCATTCTGCATAAAATTTTTTGTTTGTTCTAAAATGGTTAAACCCGCTTATACTCTTCCAAATTTCCATACCGTTTGGGAGTTAAAAAAAACATGAAAATTTGGTTGAATTTTTTCCTAAAAGTCCTAAAAATTAGAAGGCGTTTCTATGGTAATATAATTTAGATTTCATTCTTTGATAGATGGTTATTATTAATGTATATTAGTTTTTTGGTTTGTGATTTTCATTTAATTTTTTTTGCTCAAAATATGGTAACCCACATTTAAAAATATTTTTGTCAACCTACAGGGTGATTCAAATATATTTTCTAATTAAAGTTGTATTTTTACATAGAAATAGTGTATATTTTTTATTAAATTTATTATTAATATTAAATTTTCATTCGAAAAATACCATAATGTAATACTATACCGAGTGGTTTTTGGAATATATCCGTTTTTCAACTAAAAATACTGCTTATTTAAAGCCCTCTCAAAATTTAAAATTTGAAAATTTAAAAAAAATAACCAGATGTACTTATAATAGTGTTTTCTTCAAAATTTAGCCTAACAATATTTGCATTGCATATCTTGTTTGATATACATATACAGAGTACCCAAGTGAAAACTATATGTTGTATTTTTTCCACTATTTTAAATGAAACACCGTGTGTGTTGTATCATAATCAGAGTTTTCTTTAATCTATTTGTTTCATTAAGACATACGTAAACTCGATATTTATTGAATAACTTTCTGATCTTGAAAAATAAAAGCGTTAAAATTGATATATCATCGTCGTTTTATTATACCATACTAACTGACGTATTTTATATTATATCATTTGCAAAATATTTGTAATAAAAAACCAGTTTACTTGTCAAATATTTTAATAAGAATTTAGTATTTGAAATTCTGAAATACAAGAACTCTACACAGATATGCATCGTTCATTTCATCTCCGAAATTTTATCGTTTATTTATGTAAAAACATTTGTTCTAAAAATAATTTATCTTATTATTTCTAATATAATAAATGTTCAAATATTTCACCATTTTCTGTAAACATACATTAAGCCTTCGCAAAAATGACAATCAAACTCTAGTTAAAATTTCGATATTAATTGATAATTGATTGATGTAGTAGGCGACTGCCCGACGCGCGACATTCTATAATTTTTTTCTTTAACATAGTCCCATACAAAAAATCCATCGGTGTTAGGTTAGGACATACTAAGAACATTACCAGCAAAGCCACAAAGGTTCTCATGATATGCAGAAGAGAGGCGGGAAATAGGTTTGATATTAAATATAATAATATTTTGTATACCATGATAGAGCAACGTACAGCAAGGCAAAACCTGTGTAAAGTACAGAGACTGGCATGTATCTGCATCACAGGTGCCATGAGAACATGTCCAACAGCAGCAATGGAGGTCATTCTAGACCTAACACCACTGCAAATTGTCGCTGGGAGAATATTCAGGTCAGGGGCTTGAAACATCCTCAAAAAGAATATTCCACTTCTCCAACTCCCAGTGGATGACATACAAATAATTTACAACTTTGAAAAACACTTCACTGTAGTATTGAGCAATAAAAAGGATTGGAAGGAAGAAACGCTTGCTCAGCATGTAAAAGACCATACCATAACGTGGTAAACTGATGCTACCAAAACCAAAGCAGGGACAGGGATAGGAGTATTTAGGCCGAAAACTCTGAAATAAAAACTCCGAACCAATAGGCACATACCCTAGCATCCTTCAGGCAGAAATTTACGCCATCGGAATGCGTACAATTTATCTTAGATAGGAACTATCGAAAAGTCCGATAGTCAAGCAACTCTAAACGCGATGAACTCAGTAACCATCAATTCGAAGTTTATTTAGTTTAATTAGGCAAAGAAAATAAAGTCCTCCTGTTCTGGATGTTCACCTGCTCACCAAGGGATAGAACTAGTCTCAGATACTGTCTTTTGTTAAAGCCCTGAGACTGTATGACGAGTTATAACTCGTTATAACTCAAGAAAGGGGAACACACAATAGATCTGTAAGGTCACGGTGATTAACTCCCCTCCTAAACATTCTATATTCTAGGTTAGGACATCCTGCTGGCTATGCAATAGTTCCCTCCCTTCCAATCCAACGTCTTGGGAAACAGAGGTTCAAAAAGTCTTTAACGGTGTGATACTTGTGCACAGAAGCACCATCATGCTATAACCACGGCATATAAATCACACGGCAGGCTAACTCTGCCCAGATCCCATTGTTTAAAATTTCTATAAAATTTGACCTTGAAAACACCATTATGGGTGCCGAGTCAGGGCCGGATTAAAACGTATCAAAAAATTTCCCAGAAAATAAACTATTGCTAGACAGGGTCGTATTAAAAAAATACTGTAATTGACTGAAACTGAATTTTATTTACACAATACTTTTATCTAAACAAATGAATCGTTAACCGCGCATACTCCTCAAAAAGTAAAAATGAAAAACATTTAACTTTAGAGAATAGACAATTAAAATTAAAAAACATGCCAGGAGTCTAGGAGTTACAAACAAGCATTAAAGAAATACCCAATAAATTATCTATTGAACAATCTAAAGAGGCTACGTACAAATTGTGTCCATCAATGGACATAGCAAATTTTGTTAATATTCAAATTGCACAAATTAACAAATCAGCTAAAGGAAGAAAAGTAACTGATGAATTTAAATATAAATGTTTGGCTATATTTTTAAAAGTCAAGCCGCCAAAAAAAATTTGAGCCGTCAAATTTGACAGAGGTCAAAAAAATTTCAAAGTTGTCCGATTTTGATAAAAATCGATATATAGGATGGCCATGGGCTAAAATGAAAGAAAAAAAATTGAGCTGTCAAATTTAACAGCTGTCAAAAAAATTTCAATGTCCGATTTTGATAAAAATCTATATATAGGATGGCCATGGGTTAAAAGGAAAGAAAAAAAATTGAGCTGTGAAATTTGACAGCTGTTAAAAAAATCTCAAAGTTGTTCGATTTTGATAAAAATCGATATATTGGATGCTCCCTACCCCATAGTCGGTTTTTATTTTATTTGTCTCACAATTGAACTGTCAAATTTGCCCGCTCTCATTAAAGAAATTCCGAAAAGTGTTTATAGCGTCCATTTTCAAAGTAATTATTGCTATCTTGTGAGTTTAATTCAAGTTTTATTTACTCCAACCGGTGATAATTGTGAAAAAGTGGCATTAAAAACTTAAAAAGCTGTGCTGTGGACTGTGAACAGCAAAACCATCGTGGATCGTGGCATAACGTCGGTTTCAATGTTTCATAGGTATTTCATACATGCGTCCTTATATAAAATAAAGTTTTTGTATGCAACACACTGTAGTTTATTTATAAAATTAAACGAAAATAATAATAAATTTGAATAAACAATATTTGGCGATATAATTCCGGAAAAAGCCGAACCGCTCCGAAATTTTCAAAAGTTTTGGGTCGCGACCGTTGCGAGAATAGCGCCAAATAGTGTTTACATTGTCCTTATGGGCACTTTCCAATCTAAACTTGTTTCATTTATCTATGCATTAACGTAAAAAGTAATAATACCTTGATATATACGAACATAAACTTGCTTGTAGAAAAAATAGTGTATGATATGTGTGCTAAAAGTGATTTTATTTTGTTCGAAGGGATGGGACCTAACCAAACCCAATCTTCCCTTCTCACAAAATAAAATACCACTTTTAGCACTTATATCATAAATAACTATTATACCGTATGATCGAATAAAAACGGCGTCAACGATGGCTATGAAATGAAGATCGCTCTCATTTTATATGTAAAATTATATGGGAAATGTCATCGATCGTCATTTCCAAGCCAACTGGACGCCGTTTTTTTTCGATCATACGGTATTATATTTAAACCATGTTCATGCCAACCGAATACTTTCTGCAAAATCTTAACAAAGACACTGACTAGGCGATTAAAATCTTTGGTTATGTTAAAATGCTCCCGTATGTTATAATAATTTTAATGTTTTTTAAAGATGTCACTAATGTTGAATAAAGCAATACAGGCTGCCACTAGTACTAGTAGCATTCAGGTTGACCCAGTGTTTCGAAAAATCTGCCATATCACGACTTCTATTTGTTATTTTTACTGCAATATTTTTTTAATATGCGGGAAATTATAGAACACATTTAAAAGAAAATTTTATGAATATACCGGGTGCGTCTTAAAAGTGGCTAACCCCTACAACTTTTTTATTTTTTCAGAAAAAAAATCGACATTTGGTATGTTAATATATGACATAAATTAGGATTGATTGACGTATTCAATTGTTTTTGGTCACTTTCTCTTTCACCGGAAATGACTACAACTTTTGATTTTTAAATGGCACCCTCGGTATTTTTTTACTTTATTCGATAGAAAATGACATTCTGAATAGAATGACATATTATATGACAACTTTTGACTTTCTCGCTTAATAAAAAATTGTATTTTAAAATTCAATCTAGAGTGCCATGGCTATGTTAAAAACACTAATTCTTAATCAAGGAGCCTTGAAAAAATAGATTTGATCGTCTAATGTGTTTACAGTTTTGTCCTGGCCAGTTAGAAAATGCTCAAATCGTATTTTTAATCATATCTCAATTTTTTCAAATGGAACGAGGGTGGCTCATTAGCATATTTGGAAACAGCATTTTTTTACGAATAATTTGATACCACAGACTTGGTATTTCGAGTCAAATTTTCGTTACAAACCGCAAGGTATAATGTTAAATAAACCATATGCTAAAATGTCAAAATTGACATATCATATGTAATTCTATTCAGAATGTCATTTTCTATCGAATAAAGTAAAAAAAATACCGAGGGTTTGATTTAAAAATCAAAAGTTAGTCATTTCCGGTGAAACAGGAAGTGACTAAAAACAAGTGAATACGTCACTCAATCCTAATTTATGTCATATACTAATATACCAAATCTCGTTTTTTTAACTAAAAAAATAAAAAACTTATAGGGGTGAGTCACTTTTGAGACGCACCCGGTAGACCTTTTTAGTAAGATCTTTATAGATCTTTTTAATAATATAGACCTTTTTCGGAACACTGGATTACCCTGTATATGTATATTTTAACTACATACTTACTTTCACTTTTCTTACCTGAAGATAAATTGAGCATCGGTACTGCTGGGTGACGGTGTTGCTAGAAGATATTCTATGTCGGGTCTGACATTTTGACTTTGTCCGAAATTAGTGAAAGCGATCACTTCCGTATTGAATCCCGATGTCAAAGGTCTCAAATTCTGTTCATAGAGGGCTAGCATTTCCACAAGGGTTTGATTGTTCAACACTTTATTTGTTCTGAAAATTAAAAACTTTAATAAAAGGCGTGTTATGAAATTTTAAATAAATTTGTTAAAATAAAAATAAGTCAAACTAAACTGATAGTTCAGGTGTTTTTCATTGAAAAAAAGCTCTTTAGTTTTACCTAATAAATGCCATTTTTCTATATTCTCATAATATCTTCTAAAATATTCTAGAATGGATATAAACACTTAACAATCCCACCACAGCCCGACTCTACATAACAAGCCGTGAACAAGAAAATCTGGCAACCCTGGTTTTAGATCGATTGATACACGTTTAGCCATATGATTTACGTTCATTGACCTGTTGCTCTGTTATGTTTTTGTAAATAAATCCGCTTTTATGAAAGAAAATATTGTTTAGTTAAAGTCTAAAGTTGTGAAAAGTCTTACTGTGTGAGATTTGTAAGTTACCGGGACAATTTTTTTTCCGTAGGAATTGCGTAAAAACAAATATCCGTGGGTGAAAAATTCGCCGCATTATAAGCGAGGTTAAGTGCTTTCTCCAAAGAATGGCGGCAAATTCGGCGGCGAATGAACATTTTGTGATGCTTTTTAAAACAATTTATTGAAAGTTAGTTGTTGTTGTAATCAAAAATTACCATGCCAAGGCCTTGTTGTGTGTCTTGGTCCAAATCCAATTATAAAACTCGTCTTGATGCAGGTGAACCAGCAGTATCTGTTTTTACCTTTCCACAGGATGAAAATCTTAAAGCCCAATGACTTAGGAATATTCCTAGGGAGGCATGGTCACCCTCAACATATTCTGTGGTTTGTGCTAAGCATTTTGTAGAAAGTGACATTATTAGGGAGCAATATTATCGCTTGCCAGATGGATCAATTCAAAAGGTACCTACTAAAACTAGGCTAAAGTTAAATACAGTGCCTAGTATCTTTCCAAATTTGCCACATTACTTGTCAAAAACAGTCCCTGTTCCCCAAAAAAGTCCTGCTGAAAGAACCAAAGAAATACAAGATCGAAGCATTTCTTTGGTTCTTTCAGCAGGACTTTTTTGGGGAACAGGGACTGTTTTTGACAAGTAATGTGGCAAATTTGAGCAAACCTTAAATTAATTTAAGAATACGCGCCTTGATAGCCGGTAAAACGGCCCGTCGCGCATTCGCGCTCGCTAGAGAAACCGATCTGAGTCTCTTGCTGGTTGCGGCGTTGCCAAATGGTTGTTCACGGCTTGTTAAGTAGAGTCGGGCTGTGATCCCACTTTACCATCTCTAGGGATCGGGTCTCAGAATGAGTGGCATCAAAACGGCAATATTGTTAATTGGAGTTCGACAAGCGATCGCACTCGCCACTTCGTCCAACTATCGAGTTTACCTTATTGTTAATCCTATAAACATCACGTGATCCTGCAAATATTGTCCTACTGGTAAATTTTGAATTATAGGAATATCTAATTCTTCTAGGTGGTTTTTTGGCCCTATTCCAGAAATGATAAGCAACTGAGCAGAATTTATTGCCCCAGCTGCAACAGAAGAAAATTAAGAACATAAGGTTTATGCTGAAATAGACCGATTTTAAGAAAGAATATCAATTTAACAAAAAATCAATAAATATTTCTCATTTCCTGATAATAATGTGTTCATCAATAATGTGTTCTCTTTATTTAGGTGCACGTAATATTATTTATTTCAAGCCGCATAGTAGAAAAGATTTCCATCAGAAATAGGGAAGTATACCGGTTGCGTCTCAAAAGTGGCTCACCGGCTCACCCCTAGAAAGTTATTATTTTTTCACATAAAAAAACGAGATTTGGTTGGTTAGTATATGACTTAAATTAGGATTGATTCACGTATTATTAAAAATATACTGAGGGCGCGATTTTTGATTTTTAAATTCTCAGTATATTTTTACTTTATTAGATAAAAAATGACATTGTATTTTAAATTTCAATCTAGAGTGCCGCTGTTAAAAACACTAATTTTTAATCAAGAGACCTTGGAAAAATAGATTTGATGATCTAATGTTTTTCGTGTTTTGTCCTGGCCGGTTAAGAGATGTCCAAATCGTATTTTTAATTGTATCTCAATTTTTTCAAATGGAACAAGTGTGGCTCATTTACATATGTTGAAATTTTGAGTCAAATTGTCGTTATGAACCGCATGTTACAATTACATGTTACAAATACAAACATATGTTACAAATAAAATGTCAAAAGTTGACACATGGTATATCATTCTGTTCAGAGTGTCATTTTCTAAGTAGAAATATACCGAGGCGAGGGTGCCATTTAAAAATCAAAAGTTGTAGTCATTTTCGGTGAAACAAGAAGTGACCAAAAACAATTGAATACGTCAATCAATCCTAATTTATGTCATATACTAACGTATCAAATCTCATTTTTTTTTTCTGAAAAATAAAAAAATTAGAGGGGTTAGCCATTTTTGAGACGCACCCGGTATATGTTAGCATTCAGTGGCATATTCCCATCCTATCAATGTGCCTCGCACTAGTTTTTCCACGTCCTTGATAAAAGCATAGCCTCTCTGACTCTAGTTTTGCTTTCCCAAATAGTAAGTGTCACTTGCGATCTAAAGTCTCGCAAGATCTGAAACTATCACATAAAATTGAAAATTACCTGACACAATAACTTCCTTTGTAGCTCTTGCATAAAAGTTTACGCCATCTTTAACAAAATACACTCCTTCTGCGGTTTTGGTCGCATTGTCAATAGCTACTTTTGTGACGAAGCTGTTGATGCTGAGATTTAGGTTCCTTCTGCTGGTAAAGCCATGTAAGAAGGCAGAAGCAGTACTGGTACGTTCGTTTCCTTTTGTCGAAAATTGAAAAGGGGAATATCCAACTTCCTCAGCTCCATTGTAGTCCCATAGGTATTTTAGACCACTACTTTCGAATGACGGTGATAGTAATTCATCCTAAATATTAGTAAAGAAACATTTAAAATATAGGATCATGCAAAATTAGAGGTGGGAATTCTAGTTGCTTGGGAGGAACTAATTCCTTAGTTCTAGTTCCTCCAAAGGAATAGTTCCTTGAACTAGGTCTTTAATTCACAATAGTTCGCGGCTAACATTGACGTCCCTGTTGCTTGCTGATGGGTTTCGTTGTCAGTCAGAACTATTCGCAGTATGATCTATATCATTTTTATTGGAGCAAATAATACGAAAATTTTACGAAAAAAATGCATTTTTCCCACTTCAAGCTTTTTGTTTTTGTCTAAAAATTCAGAATATCTACTTCGTTTTATAAGATATTTCTTAATTTTAGGGACCTAAAGTGAAACATTTCCATAAAATATTTAAAGAACAAACTAAAAATCAAAAACAGTATCCATGACAATTTTCTGTGGTAATTACGCCCGCTGTTGCCATACACAATGCCGAATCCATCGTCGTCGCCTTGTATTATATCTCGGATCTGCGGACTGAATAGATTTCCGTGAACTAGTCTTTAATTAGTTCCTCCAGTTCCTCTCAGTCCTTTCGGTCCGGAATATGTAACATACGGCTGGGACTCTCCACTCCCGCCTAGCATCGGGCTACGATCGCGCTGGCCGATCCGCAGAACGGACAAAATTCCAGTCGAAATAAAAGCATATAAATCAAGCTAGGCGCGGTTCGTTGGAACTAGTTCGTTAACGAATTACACTTAACTACCTATATGCAAAATGAATCTAATTGAAATAAAAAATAATGGCATTTTTAAGTTATTTCTCTATGTTTAGCAAACTAATATTTATTTAAACAAAGGATGCATTTGGAATTTCTTGAATTATATTACTATATTTGTATTGCGTTTTTTTAATAATACTCTACATTTTTATAGTCTTTATTATCAAATGAATATTTAGTAGGCAATTGAGATTATGACGATTTATTGAGTATTTTTGAGTTGCATTTCAGCACCAACGTCTAATAGGAAATGTTATCATATTTTTTGGGGAACCAATGAGTACTTAAACATTTTGGCAAGTTAATGACATTACATTTTTTTAAAGGTTGCTGTTTGGATTAAGGCAAATTAACTAAAATTATCTCATCAAGAAGACCGAAATCGACAAAACATTAAGAGGCAACTTTTAATCAGAATTTAACAGTCTACATAATTTTGCTCACAAAAGAAAAAAGTCAGTGACGAACATGTTTTTTTAATATTCCAGTGAAAACCCATATATACGTCCCTGGTAAATTTGTCAACACATTTTTACCATTAAAATATGTAGCACTTATAGTTTATAGTAACTACAAAATGTCATTGGAATCGCTAAAGGCACTTAGGAAGGAAATTATAAAAATCGAAAAAAAAATAAAGTAAAAAATAAAGTATAACCTCCTGTAGTTACGAAACAAAGCAGAATCGGACCTATGTTGATATACAGAATAAATCTTATTTTTGCGTGAAGCATCTTTATACGAGAGATGACACATGTTTTTTGAAACACTTTGTATATGTTAAAAAATTCTGTATATGTCAAATCTTCAACTGAAGGTAGTCAAAGATACTGCATAATACCGATTGAAGATATAAAAAGATGCGCAACCTTATGGGCGATTTTCTATCATTAAACAATTTAATATATTATTATATGATTAAACAAAGAACGGCGTCAGAGTTGGATTGGAAATGAATATCGCTGGTATTTTATATGTAAAATATTATGGTAAATGTCAATAGTTTTTTCATCATTTCCAAGCCAACTAAACGACTGTTTTCGATCATACGAAATATACAGTACCTATAAAAGAATTTTTATTTTTGTTGTTTATTCTATATTTAACACAAATAAATTTTCTATACATAAACGCGGATTTTTCATCCAAAGTTATTTTCGTCAAACGTATTACAGATATTACACATTTTAAAATGGCAACACTGTCGCTTTCAGTTCCACACCGTCTTCGATATGTCTTCGCTAGCCGAACTAGAGAAATGAGTGTTTTATGCGTTAGTCGCAGAACGAGTAGAGGCTCCACCGTAGAACACTTGAGACGTAGAGGAAATCAAATCAGCCTTATCACGGATTTGCCTATTATGGTAGGTGCATAGGCGCGCTGCGCCGCGAACGCGCGGCACGCGCGCACCGATTCGCCTCTCTTATTACGTGTTTTCAAGTTGCGCGCGCCCCAGTAACGGCGAACCATCTCCAGTCGGTTTTTCGATGCTCCGCTTTGTAGAAAAGTATTAATTAAGAAGAAAAGTATTAAGTAGTAGAAAGGTATTAATTAAATCTGCACCTGTAAATTCTTTGATTGGTACTTACCAATCCAGCCGTCCTTGATGAATGATTAACGGTATAATAACCATCAACTCCTCCATAAGTTAAGTCAACATGCTCGAAAGCGGCATTTTCAGTTTTCTTGAAGTAAGGCAGAACATCTGCATATGACCATCCTGGATTTCCGTAAACGCTTTCCTAAAATACAGGCATTTTGCTAAGGCTCTTTTAGACGAATAAAGTTACTATTTTAAAGTCCTACTACATCGACACACTTTCTGTTTAATGTGGCTTAGTTTTATACCGAGTATTTTTAAAGAGTGGCTCACCTTTATAACTTTTTGAAGTGAAACTTCTTTACGCGCGACGGCAGTAAAAATTCAAGGTCGTGACACCACACGGCATTGAGACACGAGCTAGCGAGAAAAAAAATGGTAAGTCAAACAGGAAGTTGAGTTAGCTATGGAGCTGAAACTCGGAATGTAGATTTGGCTCTTCGTTTTCATGATATTTTGACGACGTTTCGTGCACTACGAAACGCCATCAGCAATGAATCAAATCAAAAAATTGTCCGATTTAAATGAAATTTGGTACCTATGTCGATAGAACCAAACCAAGGCCAAATTGACCGTTTACGACACGTGTCACTCTGGCAGTTAGTTTTGACGTAAGAAACATCAAAAGTTGATGTCATCCGATCGCGACCAAATTTGGTGGGTAGGCTATGTGAGCGACGCGCGACGGTCTAAATTGGGATACGACGGCGACGTTTCGTTTACATCTTCATCAGGGTGAGACTAAGGATTTGATATTGAAGAAAAATATGAGTCGATTTCGGCATAATTGGGAACGGGCTACAGGACGACGCCCTCGACGTTTTGAACCGATGATGCCCCTAAATAGACGAAATCATCAGAATTTTTTTTAATTATGGGTCGATTGGAACCAAACTCGGCACGTGGAGGTATCCGAATGGAGTCCTCAGACGGACATTTTAATACAATTTTTGTGAAAGCGAATTACTTTTTCAACATTTCAAACTACACTTTTTCAAATATGTCTTTCAAATCCTTCAATTTAATAGTGGTTAGTAAGAAGTTGCACTTCAAATATGCTATACAGACCGGACCACCGTAGTAGTAACATATGCAGAACTAGACGAATTAGTGTATACCCGTCCGCCGGATAAAAAGCAGGCGAAAAAATGCGATAAAATAAAAATAGGTAGATATGTGATAAGAATGTTTCATAATTGGTATTTATTAGTGTTTTAATAGCCAAAACGAATACATAGATTCTCGCGATAGTTCTCGTGTAAAATTTATTTTAAGTAAAATAATGAACGTTTACGAAGTTCGTGAGAAAATTCAAATTGTAAAATGTTATTTCCAAAATAGGTCTTATCGGGATATACAAACAATTTTTCCACAAACTTTTGTAAAACGGCCAATTCTATCTTTACCTACTATATGAAGAGTTATTAATAATTTTGAAACACATGGGTGCGTGTCCCCACAAATACACGAAAAGCCTGATGTGTTGATTAATGAAAAACAGGAGTTAAAGCAAGTGTTTAACCGTTTAATTAGTGGACATGGAACTATTTTATAGCCCGCTAGATCACCAGATTTTTCTCCCAATGATTTCTTTTTGTGGGGTTATGTAAAACCCAAAGTGTATGGTCATAATAGGGCTACTAATCTGGATGAGCTTCAAGTAAAAATACGAGAGGCTTTCCAAACTATTAGCCCTAATATGTTAGCCAATGTCAGACGGGGATTTTACGACCGCCTAGGCTTCTGTCTAGCACAAGAAGGTGGTCTTTTTCAACACTTGTTATAACTTTTTTTTATTTAGAGTAATATTTTAGTTTATTTGGGGTTTAGAGAATTTATTTATTTTTAGTTTTGGCTTGTAAACACACTGAAATAATAAATATTTAAGTATTTTTATTTTAAATGTTACCTTAAGAGAACGTAAACACTTAAAATGAAAATAATAAATACTTGACACTCCTCGCGTCGTATTCCTAGTCTGTCACGACCGACCCGTCCAAGCACAACTGCAACTGCGTACTGCCTGACTAGCCGACTAGCCGGCAGTGAATCTCGAGTACGAACGCAAATTAGGTAAACGTAAATTCATCCGGCAACTTGCTATGTTACTAGTAGCCTGGTCTTCTCCGTATAATAATAATATAATAATAATAATATAATTTTTATTTTCATTCAGATTGGTAGACGTATTCAATCATTTTCGGTTACTTCCTGTTTCACCGGAAATGACTAAGTAAAACTTTTGATTTTTTGATTCACATGCGTACTTGTATATCTCTGCCAAGTCACATTAATGTGTATTGATTTCAATTTTTAAATTTCTTCACTTACCCATCTATCGAAATCTTCTGGGTGACCTCTTACATATAATGCAGCATTAATGGTAGTTCCACCGCCAATAACTTTGCCTTGGGGCAAAAAACATTCCTGGTTTTGCATAGCTGTATCAGAGAAAAATTGGAAGCCAGTAGTAGCACAATTATAATAGGTAAACAAAGAGTAGTGATGAGCAAGATGATCTAGCACAAAAAACAAAACCAAGAACAAGTTCAAGACAAGCAGTTTTTTGTCACGCTTTTTATTTACATCGCATTTTCCATAAATAATAATTTAAAAAAACCTGATCAAGACCATTTCAACTAATCTTTGCTTTGAAAATACTATACCAATTAAACTTTTAGTTAGGTAATCGAGGGCGGGATTTTTAAATTCATTGTTGCCAATCATGGACATATTCGGCGCCGGGGTGACTAACTGGAATTTAAATTTTCCGCCGAGAATTCAGGTGGTGGTAACTCTGATGTGTGATAAATGTCAAGTGCTCTGATAAATGTCAAGTTGCCACATTTATTTATTTTTTTCTTGACATTGTCATTCGTTTTGACACTTTAGTTTTGTATAACTAGTTTTTGGTTTAAATAAATAGTGTTGATACTTTAAGCTTAAAAATGTTTACTTTAGCAGACCTTGCAGTCGAACATTGTTCTTTTTAGAAGCTCTTTTACAAAGTGTACGAAGTGCAGAAGATATCTTAATAGCCGTATAGCCGTAAAAACTCATTCCAACTTTATTAGAATATTTTGAACGGGAAAGCGATAGTAATGGCCCTTTATGTCCCTTAAATGCTGTTAAGAACGTGAGTTTTGTTGATATAAATAATAACTGTTTATATATTTACTAGCGTGTACCAGCGACTTCATTCGCGTCGAATTAATCATTTGTAATGGTGATGATAAAGCAAAGCAAGAATTTCCATTAACATACAAACTGGATAAAATTTTCTCACATTTATGTCAGCATGAGAAAAAACAATATGGCGATATCATTATATAACTTGGTAATATTTGAGGGGTAGTTTCATCTCGTTGGAATTTGACTTTCGAAAAATCCGTTTGCCAAAAATAAGCTTTTTACGTCAAGCAGTTTAAGCAGAATCGTGGTTAAGAAATTACCCAACTTTTTGGAACACCCTGTATGATTTTTTAAAAAATTTCAAAATATGTAAAAAAACCAAATAAATTATGCTTGTCCAAGCGTTTTCCCGAAAGACTAACCGTTTTTAAATAACAAATATTGTAATATTTGAGGGGCGTTTTCACCCTCTTGGAATTTGAGATTCGAGAAACCCCTCCTTATCGAACCTCTACACCCCACAGTCAATCCGTTTGCCAAAAATCAGCTTTAAACATCAAGCAGTTTAAGCAGAATCGTGATTACTTAATTGGCATATTTTATGAAACACCCTGTATAAATTTATAAAAAATCTTAAAATATGTAAAACAACAAAATAAAATATACGTGTTTAAGAGTTTTTCCGAAAAACTCACCGGTTTTTAAATAAAAAATATTTTAATATTTGAGGGATAGTTTCACCCCCTTAGAATTCGAGTTTCGAAAAATCCCTTTTTATCGAACCTCCACACCCTAAAGTCAATCCGTTTTCCAAAAATCAGCTTTTTACGTCAAGCGCTTTAAGCAGGATCGTGATTAATCAATGACCAGATTTTTCGAAACACCCTGTATACATTTTTAAAAAATCTTAAAATATGTAAAAAACAAAATAAAACATACGTGTTTAAGCGTTTTCCGGAAACTTGGCCGTTTTTTAAATAAAAAATATTGTAATATTTGAGGGGTGGTTTCACCCTCTTGGAACTGGAATTTCGAAAAATCCCTTCTTATCGAACCTCTACACCCTAGAATCAACCTGTATGCCAAAATTGAGCTTTTTACGTTGAGTGGTTTGAGCAGGATCGTGATTAATCAGTATATCAGTCACTTAAGGATTTTATATATTAGTATAGATAATTAATTTATTTTTGTTTCCTAAAATATTTTGATTAAAAGAAAATATGTAAAAGTAGGCAACGCTGTGCCGGTCAAGCTTAATTACGTGGCTAAAAGTTTATTTGGTATGATCTATATATATAAAATGTGTTTGTTCGTAACTAGACTTGATTCATAGTAAACACAACAAATATCTACCTAGACAAGCATTCTTTTGTGCTGTCGTATTGTATCCCCAGCTAAGCGGGGACAAATAGGTGTACACGCACATTCCAATGATTTTCGTAAAATCATTATCAAGACCTCCAGCTTCCAAAACCAGAATATTCCAATCGGAAATCTCTGAAAGTCTATTGGCTAGAACAGCTCCGGCACCTCCTGCACCGACAATTATAAAATCGAATGTTCCAAAATCTAAAATGAGAGAAAAAAAATTGTTGAATCCGCAAGTCATCAAAACAAAAATTAATTTTTGTAAAAAATAAATCATCCAAAGATTTCTCTTTCCTGAATAAAGCCCCAAACTCACACTTCGCCACTTCACTTCGTTTCTTCCAAATACGTTTAAATAAAATATACGACGGCCTCCCCATAAGAGCAATGAGAGGATTTACGTCCCAATATTGAAGGAGGACAGAAAATCGAGTCGAATGGTTTCAAGACATAGGTTCATCCTTGTTTAGTCAAACCTCCTACAAACCAAGGATAGACTTATGTAGGAAATGCATTGAAATTCTATAGCCATCCTTCAATATCGGGACAGGAATTTAAGCGGTACTCTCCATATACTTTATTTTAAACGTATTTGGTTTCTTCGCTTCGCCCCTTCTCGTCTAGAAATCTTATACTTATCATGGGTAATTGTCGATTTGATCCGACAGTTTGTTCCTTCGTTCCTTCGTCCCTTCGTCCATTTACTTCGTCAAAACGGTCTTTCGCCGGAATGTCGATGTGGGTTTTTGGTCGAAGTAGATTTTATCAAAAGAAATGTCACGAACACAAAAAAATATAAAAGTATACCTATAAATCGATCTTGAATCTCATTCGTAGTTGATTTCTTGATTTGGCAGTATGTCTGTACAGGGTGTATCAATTTCGTGTGTTTTGCTGGGTTTATCGCTATGAGTCGAGGTAAAAAGATGCGGTTTTCACATTACGATGTTACTTTTTTTAGGAAATTAAATATGCTACACACAGATATGTCCTAGCTCTCGTACTTGCTAAAACACAGGGAGAATTTGAAATTATTTTATTTTTTGATCCCCTTGTGTCTCGGTTATCTTTTAATCTATCGAAAAGGTAAAAACGGTGTCCCGTACAGTTTTTCAGGTAGAATGACGTAAATAGTTCTTCGTTGGAAGCTGTCTTTTTTAAAATATGACTCAAACTTATATGTTCTTTTTAAATGCGATATTGTATACCGGCAGGGCCGGGCGACCCGGGCGGCTGCCCGGGGCGCCGGATGCGAGGGGCGCCACAACAGCTACTAAAATATTTAAAAAATATTTGTTCGTGGTATTTTATTTATAACTCAAAATATATCAACTTTTTGTAAATAACCCTTCTTGCTATAATTCTTGTTTTTATAAATTTTGTCTAAACAAACTGTTTTGGGTTGGCAGTTTTAGACTGACCGCTCAAAATCGCACTTTGTCTACTATTCACACACTTTTTATTAATGGTTGATTTACCCTAAAAATTATATGAGGCAAATATACATTCGCAAGAAGCTGAAGAGGATCCCGATATCCTTATTATCATTAAATTAATTTATTTTCGTCATACTATATTGTTATATTATTATAACATAAGCAAAATCAGAATGGAAAAGATGCATATAACGTCCGCCGGACGTTATCATAACGGCCGGCGGCCGTTAAGTTTCTAAGGTAATCGTAACGTCTGTCACCTGCAACAATGACTATTTATTGTCAGTTGGACTTTTCAAAAATTGGGAAAATAGACCATAGCGAGATGTCGCGAGAAATTCCGTTGGAAATACAGGAGGAAGCGGCTGCGGCTACTCAAAATTTACTTCCGACTATAACCAGAGAGAGATATCAGCAGAATATGACAATTTTTTGAAGTGGCGGCAGGATAGAAGTATAAACAGCGTAAATGAAGCGGTATTGCTGGCTTATGCTAAAAAGAATGTCTGAAATGTATTCTCCTACATCACTGTGGACAAAGATATCCATGCTGAAGCTTGCGTTGAGAGTATATGAAAACATCGACATATCAAGGTAAAAAGCCATTATATTCTTCGATATTTAATCATACTCATCTAAATTATATTTGTTCATAGATTTGGTAAACTGTTCATGTTTCTGAGGCGCAAAAACGAAGGTTATTCACCAAAAAAAGCCAAAGTTCTGTCGGAGAATGACATAAATAATTTTCTACTGGATGCCGATGATTACACCTGGTTACTCGAAAAAATTGTATTGGTGCTTGGTATTCTTGGAGCTTGTAGGCGCAGCGAGCTTTGGTCACTCACAGTTGATGATTTCGAAGATTCGGAGAAAAATATTCTTGTCTCATTAAGAAATACTAAAAATAAGAAAGATAGGAAATTTCTTATTCCAAAAACGGGCCTTCCGTTTGATGCCTATGGTTTATACAAAAATACATCAACCTGCGTCCTCGTAACTTTGACAATCCAAAATTTTTCATTGGTTACAAAGAAGGCAAGTGTGTTAAGCAAATCGTCGGTATACATACCATCGGGGCGTACCGCAGAAATTGCAAAATTTTTTGAACTTGGAGAATCCAGAACGTTATACAGGGCATTCATTTCGTAGATCATCAGCAACCATGCTCGCCGAAAATGGTGGTGATTTACTATCGCTAAAGGAGCTAGGAGGATGGGAGTCTTCAACAGTGGCAGAAACTTACATAGAGAAAATCAGTTTCCAAAGAATGAAAATAACAAATCAACTTTTTCATGATAGCTCCAAAATAATGTGTCTTTAGTGGATACAAATATTTGCCATTCTTCAGTAGCATCATCTTCTTCTATAAAATCTGTAAATCCCTGGGAAGGATTACAGATTTCAGAACAACAAGTGCACTTTTAATTTCCATGTTCATTATCATGAAAAATGAATTTTAGTATAAGACATTATGTATTTTTTATCCTTACTTGTGTTATTGTTCAATAAAATTTGTTATTAAATAGTAGTGTTTATTGCTCTAAAAAATCTGCAGTATGACGAAAAATCTAGAACGCAACACGGCCGATAACAAATAACGGCCTTGGCTGCTTATGATCCTCGGCTATCGCCTCGGATCACAAACTTCAGCCCGGCCGTTATTTGTTGTTTATCGGCCTTATTACGTTAATAACTATAACAGTAGTGGGAAAATATATCAATATTTTGGTGGTTTTGATTGTCCCGGATTGAATATGTAGTAATACCACGAAAAATTGTAGCAGAATCGTAGAATTTTCTCATTTTGAAGCCGACAGAACTGTATCTGATCATAAACTGATTCTGCACGAAATAATTGATCAAAAGTGGCTCACCCCTATAACTTGGTTATTTTATCAGATGAAAAAACGAGATTTGGTATGTTAGTATACGACATAAATTCTGAGGGCTTATGATCAAGAAAAATCACAGATCTTCCTGGGTCTGAGTAAGAACAATCTTCGGATTGTCACGGGGTTTTTAACAGGACACTGTCTCCTCAATGAACACCTCAGTAGATTGAAACTAAGAAGAAACGGCGAATGCAGATTCTGTGGGGAAGATGGTGAAACACCAGTACACCTCATCACTGAGTGCGCCGAGACGACAACCATTCGCGCCATGAATTTTGGTACGACTGATATTGGAGATGGAGAACTACCCTCTATAAAACCGTCCCAGATACTGGCTTTTGTCAAAGCCCTGGGACTGTATGATGAGTTATGATTCAAGAAAGGGGGACACAATGGATCTGTAAGGTCGAAGTGATTAACCCCCCTCCCACTCATTCTAAATTCTAATTCTAAAAAATACGACATAAATTAGGATTAATTGACGTATTCAATTGTTTTTGGTCACTTCCTGTTTTACGGGAAATTACTACAACTTTTGATTTTTAAATGGCATCCCCGGTATATTTCTACTACGATAGAAAATAACACTCTGAATTGAATGACATATCATATGTCAACTTTTGACATTTTCGCATATGGTTTATTCTTTGAATAAAAATATTAAAAAAGGAGTATTATAATGCTATCATATATTCATGAATGGTGGGTGGAAGAGGACTCTAGGGTGGGGATCATTGACAGTTCTGTTTGACGATTCATTTGACACATTTGAATTTGATTTGAAATTTTGTGGATTTGTCAGCCTTTACTAAGGTTTTTTTATGTTATTAATTATTTATTCTACTACTGATACTTGTATAAAGGTAGTAAATCTAGATGGAAATTGTGGCAGAACTTAAATTAACAGTAACACTATTACGATTTATCGAAAAAAAGTAGTGAAAGAGTGGAATCATTTTTCGCTAGTAAGTGACTACAGGGTATCCCTGAAATAAGTGCAAGTATTTTAACTGGTATTTTAGTTCAACCCCAGAAACACGTCTATGAGGGTTTTTTCGCGAAAAAAAAATTTGACTCGAAATATCAAGTGTGCGATACAATAATTATTCGTAAAAAATGTTTTTTCCAAATATGCTAATGAACCACCCTTCTTCCATTTGAAAAAATTGACATATGATTAAAAATACGATTTGGACATCTATTAACTGGCCAGGACAAAGCACGAAAAACATTAGACGATCAAATCTATTTTTCCAAGGCTCCTTGTTTAAAAATTAGTGGTTTTATAACAGCCAGAGCACTCGAGATTGAAATTTAAAATACGATTTGACATATGATATATCATTCTACTGAGAGTGTCATTTTCTATCGTTATAGAAATATACGGAGGATGCCATTTAATAATCAAAAGTTGTAGGAATTTCCGGTAAAACAGGAAGTGACCAAAAACAATTGAATACGTCAATCAATCCTAATTTATGTCATATACTAACATACCAAATATTACGTTTATACCAAATTTCGTTTTTTATCTAAAAAAATTAAAAAAACTTATAGGGGTGAGTCACTTTCGAGAAGTACCCAGTATAGAAAAAACTTAGACTAAGATTGAACGAAGAGAAGAATTTTGAAGGATCTTTAAGTGAAACTTTGTTGTTAAAGTAGCAAAAATATGCTTAGTTGTAGCTAAAGTATAGTATTGAAGGAAAGAGAGAATTATAATAATTATTAGGAAGGGGGGGGGGGCGCCAGATAGTGTACTCGCCCGGTCTCAATATTTCCCTTCCGCCGGCCCTGTATACCGGTATTATACCGGGTATCTATTATGCGGTAGTCGGAAACTTCCTTTATAAAATGAGGATGTTCAGTTATATTTGTTAGAGATACAAAGGTGGTCGAAAAATGCAAAAATGTCTACTAATTAAAAAATAGAAAGTATAAAAGAAAGAAATAAGAAATAAATATCAACTAAGAAGGCTAGGACAAACCTGTGTGTAGTGTGTGTTCATAATAAGTAAAACAGTGATGTAAAAAGGGCATCTTTATATCTCTACTCATAAACCAGAAACCCCATAAAACACAGAAAAGTGAGACACCCTGTACGTCTAGCAATCGCCAGTCAATATAAAAATAGATAGCACATATAATAGTCTTAAAAATGGAATGGAAAGACAATATTGTCTTCATATTTGTGAAGAAATACATGTCCAGGTTTATGTAATCCTAGAGACAAAAATAAAAAATCGAAATAGTGTATGCTTTTACAAAAATATCTGACAAAAATATCTGAAGAAATGGGGATTGATATCAACGAATTAAAAAAGAAGATAGAAAATCTCAAACATGGCGTAGCTACTGGAGAAAAATATCATGTTCACAAAAATCCGGAGCAAGGTTCGACGATATATTATAAGCCAATTAAGCCAACATAGCCCCCCCCCCTAACCTAACCCCCATACTCATACAGTATACTTTAATATGAAACTACTAATTATTTAAAGTCCTCAGTGCGGAGCTCCGAACTCGAATAGCCAGATACTACGTCTTCTCTGTGTTAACTATGGGTGTGAGAGCTGGACACTAAATTCACAGATCGAAAAGAGAATAGAGGCCTTCGAAATGTATGTGTACAGACGGATGCTGCGAATCTCATGGGTACAAAGGATCACCAACGATGAAGTACTCCAGCGCATACAGAAACAAAAAGAGATATTAAACACCATCAACGAAAGAAAAATGCAATACCTGGGTCATGTGATGAGAGGTGATAGATACGAAATACTGCGCCTCATAATAGAGGGCAAAGTGCAAGAGAAAAGATCAGTAGGATCGCCAACCTTCGGCAGGAGAGGGCGTGATAAGAAGAAGAATTATTTAAAATTAAAAACACTCAGATATTTTTAAATGGTACACCATATATATTATTATTTAAAAAAAAATAATTAGTATGTCATATTTCATAAGTTTCGGTTAGGAAAGAAACGACAAGTTTCTTTCCTGTGTCACAAATTAACTACAACAGATGCGAAAGAAAGCGACTGCATCGGAAACCGCTCGGCAAACTCCACACACCTATTGAGTGGTGTAAATACACCAGTCGTTTAGTCCGGAAACCTATGCTGTGTCGTATTCGCTTGCTGGAATGACATAGTGCGTGGTTATATGTTTCTTTTTAAAAACGGGTGTAGGATTTTTGTTGAACTTTTGAACTGTTATTTCTAAGTTTTGGTAATTTGTATATCTTATTTAAAATGGGATACAAATGTCTTTATTTATAAGGGAAAAAAAGATATTTATAATATAAAAAATTAATTTATTTAACAAAATTTAATTAAAAATGTGACAAAATAGTACCTTTCTATTGGTTCTATCGGACTTTTTTCGACTATATAAATCTTTATTTGTAAACTTTAATACATCAAATATTTTCAATCTAATAAATCATTTAATGATGTAAATAAGAGGAAATTTCTCACATGGGTGGTCAAATTCTATAGTTTTCATTATATCAAACAGCCTCTGAGAAATGTTTTCAACTCAAAATGCCTTTAATTATGTTTGACTACATCAATTAAAAGGGTCTTCAAATACATCAATGTGATATTTGTCTAAAATTTGCAAAAGAATCCCAATCTCTGGATAACTCGAAATTATTTACCCATTTAAAAGCCTTTGATCATGAAAGTGGAAAAATTTGTTCATTTTATTTACTGGAAATGGAAAAATTATTTATATTAAATTTTGATGAGTTTTGCATTGAAGAATACATTCAGAGGCTGTTTGATATAATGAAAACTATAGAATTTGACCACCCATGTGAGAAATTTCCTCTTATTTACATCATTAAATTATTTATTAGATTGAAAATATTTTATGCATTAAAGTTTACAAAAAATAAAAGTTTATATAGTCGAAAAAAGTCCGATAGAACCAATAGAAAAGTAACTATTTTGTCACATCTTTAATAAAATTTTGTTAAATAAATTAATTTTTTACACTATAAATATCTTTTTTTTTCCTAATCTCCTACGAACTGATATAATATGACGAGCAATCTATTAAGTTACTGTGAGATTATATGCCTCGATAACATATTGGTGCAGATTATTTTCACCCAAACAAATAATAACCCAAACTATACATTGATGCGGATTGTCTATAACTCTTTCTGAAGGTCACAGAAACCTGAACGCGTAATTCGGTGTTCTTTCGCATCTGTTTGTGCCTGTGTGCTGTGATAAAGCCTTGTTGACACTTGTCAAAGTATACATAGATAAAGGAAACAAGTTTAGATTGAAATGCTCGGCTTGCAGCCAAAACTTATAATTGTTTTGGAGCGCATACGTTGTAAGGCGCTGCTATAGCGGTTGGTAAGAACAACCGCAAACAAGAATAGAAATAATTTTCTCTTGTCAAAGTCAGAATCTTCAAAAATTATAAAATCTTTTAAAATTTAAACCGCCCTCATTCAAAAGTTGCCGAATTGTTTAAAGCGTCAATTTTCAAAGTAATTATTGCTACCTTGTGAGTTTAATTTAAATTTGATTTACTCAAACCCCTGATAATTATGAAAAGTGGAATTAAAAATTTAAAAAGCTGTGTGAACTGCGAACTGCAAAAACCATCGTGAATCGTGGCATAACGTCGGTTTCCAATGTTTGATAGTACTTCATACATGTCCTTATATAAAATAAAGGTTTCTTATATGCAGCACACTGTATTTTATTTAAAAAATTAAAAGAAAATAATAAATTTGAATAAATAATATTGGGCGACATAATTCCGGAAAAAAGCCGAACCGCTCCGAAATTATCAAAAGCTTTGGAGAGCGACCGTTATAAGAATAGCGCCAAATAGTACCGTATGATCGAATAAAAACGGCGTCAGCGATGGCTATGAAATGAAGATAGCTGTCATTTTATATGTAAAATTATATGGGGAATGTCAACGATGTTCATTTCCAAGCCAACTGGACGCCGTTTTTTTTCGATCATACGGTATTTTATTTGCCTTATCCAATCTAAACTTGTTTCTTTTATCTATGGCTTAATCAAAGGCTTAATTATAAGCTTTACCCAAAGTAAAAACCAAGTTATACAAGACTGAGAATGTAACTTACCGTATACGGTGGAGTTTGTTGTATTTAAAAGATCAGAATTGTCTTTTGGAATGACATAACTTTCCGAAGCTGTAATGTTACTTTCCACCATGGCCACAAATTCAGTAAAGTTATCATATTTCAGCCCAGAACTTAGCCCTACCAACACAGCAACTATAATAAATAATATAAATCCGGAAACACGCATATTTTAAGCATTCCTCAGAGGAATAACCGATCTCTATGGGAACTAGTATTTTTATATATTATTATTGACTTATAATCTTAGTTTTTACAATCACTTATACGCGTGCAAATAAAAAAAGCGTATGTGGTACCGTAAGTTTTGGCCAAACAACGGGTTATGTCAAAAGTCATTGGGTCAACAAGATAAAATAGTTAGATTTCAGCGGTTTGTATTTAATTTTTACGGTGGGTTCATTGCAGTTTACTCTTTGTAATTATCATTAAAACAATACAGAGTAAACTTAAAAAATGAACAGAGAGTTTATTTAAATCTGGACAATCGTAATATAATCAAGTATCTGTTCCGGATCATTCGCTCAAGCATTTTCATCATTTTAACATATTCCATCCCTCCATTTTTGATCGTCCCCACTACAGTCTTACCACTAGGGTTTCCGGAACCGGAGCTGTTTTCCAGAACCAGGAATTTCGGTACCGCACCTCTTAGGAACCGTTTTTTTCAGTACTTTCGGTACTAACAAATTTTGATTGAAACAAATGAGATTTATAATGAAAACGATATCAAATTATTGAGTAACCAGTCATGATAAAATTAACATGAACACAAGCAAAAAAAATATAGGTACCTAAAGCCCCATACTCACACTTCGTTCCTTCCTCGCGTCCCTTCCTCGCGTTACTTCCTCTCGTTACTTCGTCACTTCGCTTCCTTCCTTCGTTCATTCGATGCTTGGAAATTAGTCGATTATGCAACAACACACCACAAAATATTTTTAATATAGCAGCTACATGTTTATTACGAAATATCTAGTAACCTCTAAAATTTTTAAAAAATTCGAAAGGCGCATAATTTTCATTTTATAAAACTGCAATTCCTTGTCGTGTCAAAAATAAAAATTTAATTTTAATAATATATATGTTTTTTTCATAAATCCGAATATTTCTGTATCATGTACAAGGTATATCAGTATGAATGTACAAGGCGAGTCAACAATAGAGTAAAGTTTATTATGTAATTTATATCGAAACTATGAAATATGACATACTAATTAAACGTTGATCTCAATCCCCATTTCTTCAGATATTTTTGTAAAGGCATCATGCACACTATTTCTATTTTTTTTATTTTTGTCGCTACGATTACATAAATATGGACATGCATTTTTTCACAAATATGAAGACAATATTGTTTTTTTTCTTCCATTTTTTAGACTACTTTGTGTGAATTATTTTTGTATCGACTGGCGATTGCTAGATGTACAGGATGTCCCATTTTTGTGTGTTTTATGGGATCTCTGGTTTATGAGTAGAGATATAAAGATGCCGTTTTCACATCATTGTTCTACTTATTATGAAACTAAATATGCTACACACAGATTTATCCTAGCCTTCTTAGTTCAAAGTTATTCCTTATTTCTTTCTTTTACTTTTTATTTTTTTGATTAGTAAAAATTTTTGCATTTTTCGATAACCTTTGTATCTCGATGATCTAATAACTTATCGAAAAGGTGAAAATGATCAGCGATGGGCGGTGGGTAAGTACCCAATTTGTAGATAAATAAAATCTGGGTATATATGTATATACCTACCTGGTAGATTTAGATGAACATCCTAATTTTAATATAAGGAGTTTCCGACGACCGCATAGTAAATAGTACCGGTAGGTATAATACCGGGAATAGAAATATACCAATATATATAAGGAATATTGTAGATATACTCGTATTCTTGATATTACTGGTATTATACCGGGTATTTACTATGCGGTCGTTGAAAATACCTTTTATAAAATTAGACTGTTCATCTAAATGTACAGGTATATACCGGATACCCTGATTTTGTTTTTTTCTAACCATTGAGTACTTACCCACCGCCAGTGTCTCATTTTTCAGGTAGAATGCAGTGACGAAACTAGTTCTGCGTTGGGAGCTGTCTATTTCGAAAAATGACTCAAACTTATGTCCTTTTTTTTAAACAGGACACTCTATATATTATTTTTTATTTTATTTGCCTTGTTATCAGCTTTCTAAAATTATAATATACTCTATATTTATTTATTTAGGTACTGCTAAACTGCTAAACGACTCTTATTTTATTTAACTTAACTTTACCAGATAACTTTGCTTTGCATCGTGATATTTTGATAAACTACACGGAAACTGAACTCGTGCTACTTTTAAATAACATGCCAATAACCAACATTTTACGTCGAATAAATTAGTTGATTGTTTTGATTACCTAATTTAAACCGGCCGACTATGTAATAAAGTTAAATAATGCATTTTTACCCTGTTTATGAAAATAAGTATTTTAGAAAGCCCGTAACAAGGAAAATAAAATAATATTCAAAATATCGCATAAAAACATATAAATTTTAATCTATTTAAAAAAGACAGATTCCAACGAAGAAATAGTTAAGGCACTGCATTCTACGTGAAAAACTGTACGGGAGACCGTTTTCACCTTTTCGATAAGTTATGATAAAAAGGGGATCGAAAAATGCAATAATTTCAGATTCACCCTGTATTTTAGGAAGTAAGAGAGCTAGGACATATCTGTATGTAGCATCTTTAGTTTCATAAAAGAAGTAACAGCGTAATGTGAAAACCGCATCTTTGTATCTCGACTCATAAACGAGAAACCCTGCAAAACACACGAAAATGGGACACCCTGTACAGACGTACTGCCAAATCAAGAAATTATCTACGAATGAAATCCAAGATCGATTTATATATTTTAGTATTTTTTTGTGTTCGTGATAATTCCTTTGCTACTTCCTCCAAAAACCGACAGTACATGGAAGGAGCGTTTCGAGGAAGTAAACGGACGAAGTAGCGTTTTGACGACGGAGGAAGGAACACACTATAAAATCGACATTTTCCCATAGTAAATATATGATTTTTGGATGACGGGACGCGAGGAAGGAACGAAGTGAAGTACCGAAGTGTGAGTGTGGGGCTTAGCTTATTAAAATTCACACCAAACAACATAAACAAACTTAACTAATTTTCAGAAAAGAATCCTTAAAATATTGGATCAAAAATGCAAATAGATATAATCTATTAAAACATAAAATATAACTAATACATTAAACATTATACTAAATAATAAAATAATATACAAGCGATACCAATTAAACTTTTAGTTACATAATCGAGGGCGCAATTTTTAAATTCATTGTTGCCAACCATGGACATATTCGGCGTCGGGCTGATTCAGATAGTAGCTCTGCTGTAAAATATGTCAAATTGCCACATTTATTTATTTATTTCTCCAAAAAATCCTATATGGGTATTTTGCAACTGCAAGAAAATCTACTGAATAAAATAGTTATTTTTTGTAAACACAGCTGCGTTAATCCAACGGAGATTACTTGCCAGTAGTTAAATTTACTGATGAACAAATTTGCCTAACGAACTATAAAAATGCTTAATGTTTCGGAAAGTTTATCTCTTTCCATCGTCGGAAGCAAAAAAATTACAAAGAATAAAGAAAAAAACTATTTAAAAAATTTAAATGCAACTATTCGAGAGTTTTTTTAGTTGACGTTCTGTTACTTTTGTTTTATGTCTTGTTTTACGTGTTTTTGGTTTAAATGATTTGTGTTCAGTGTTGTAATACTTTAAGCTTAAATTTTTTTGCTAGCAGTTCTTGCAGTTGTCGAACGTTCTCCTTTTTAGAACCTCTTTTAGTGCGGAGTGTACAAGATAGCTTAATAGCCAATTCAAAAACTCATCGCAACCTTATTAGAATATTTTGAACGGGAATGCGGTAATAATGGCCCTTTATGTCTCTTAACGAAGTGAGTTTTATTGATGTAATAACTGTTTAGATATTTATAATACAGTTATTTTTTTGTTTCCTAAAATATTTTAATTAAAAGAAAATATGTAAAAGTAGGCAACGCTGTGCCGGTCAAGCTTAAATACGTCACTTGTGAGTTTAATTGGTATGAACTATGTTCAAACTTCATAAATAATTGCTAATAAACATTATAGAAACTTCAAAAAAGAAAAAAGCAAGAACAATAAGCATATAATAGCATTACTACTTATTTAGAAGAGTTTGATTTCGACCGCTAGAAAGTATGAAAAGATTTTCTCATGTAACAAAAGTATAATTTTTAAACTATTGAGTCCCGAAAGAACCGCGAATTAATTTCGAGGTCCGGTTCTGTGATGGCCAAAAAGATCCGGGAAATCCCGGTACTTCCAAAATCGGATTTGCCGTTTCTGAACCCTAAGTGGGAGATTAATTTTTATTAGGTTTTTGGAACCGCAGCTGTTTTTCGGAACCGGGAATTTCGGTACCATGCCTCTAAGGAACCGGAATTTTCCGGTTTTGATAGTACTTTCGGATTAGCAAATTTTTGTTTAATGATATTGTGTAGTTTCAGCACGGAAGGGATGATTTTCAAATGTAAAGCCTGTAAAAAATTGAGTTTTAAATGAAAATAATATCAAATTATTAAGTAATCAGTCAGTAAAATTAACATGGACACTAACCACTCCACCGACGCGACGACAGATTTTCATTTCGTAAAATGGTCTCTCTAGTATTTACTATATTTTTGTCTCTTGTAAAAAAACGCCAGATCGCATAGTTTTTGAGAAAATATTTTCTGGAGGATTTATTTTTCCAAAACAGCCCCACAAAATATACAGAGAGTTTCAATACTTCGTGGCCATAGAACAACTACGTATTTTTTGAATCAAAATAAGTTATTTTAAACAATATTATTTTTTTAAAGCCTTTTATGAAACTTATTGTCAAATATAATTTGTGATACTAACATAAAATTCCCTAGTTTCGTCAACTAGATTATTAGATAGAAAACAAATTTCTTGCAGTAGAGGTATATAATAAGATTATATAAGGACTCTTGCCACTTAACTGCTAATATAGAAATTTAATTCTACGCTGTGTTTGTCATAATGCGGATCAACCTGCTCTCACTACCAGTTTCGGAGCCCTACTCCATCATCAGGTGAGCTTGGGAGATCCACAAAATGACAACCACAGCGCAGAGATAGTTAATTCCGACTTGTCTGAAAGTATCGGTTAGATATTAAGTCCCGAACGTTAGTAGGGCGAACGTCCGCATTATGACAAAATCCGCATTATGACAAACACAGC